TCGTCCCTCTTCTCAAGAATCACTGAGGCACTGATCCCCAAACAACAGAACACCGGGCCTGTGGAAACGCATTCACTCCGAACCAGAGCCAAGTAGAGCCAGTGGAAAAGGGGCATTAGTCAGAATTTCCTGGCATTCTTGAGGGTCAGAGGTCAAAGTGCAACAACAGTTAAAGTTGCAAATGACTGCCTAACTAAACTAGATTAAACTAACTACCAACAAAAAAAAAAGTTTAATATTTTATTGTTTGTGTGATGTGTAGTTTAAGAAAACCATGGGTGACTGAGCAGTTCTTGTAGCGTGGGACTCTCCTCTGGGTGTTTCTTCACTTAGTCAGAATATCCTGTCAGGCTGGAGGGTCAGAGGTCAAAGTGCAACAACAGTTAGAGATGCGGGAAGAGGACAGATTTACCTATGCTGTGAGAAGATAAAGTACAAGTGTTTGTCTCACTTTTTAAAAACCTGTTGCTGATCTTCAGCTTGTTTTTGAGAAAGCTGTTGGTCTCAAAACTCTTATCCTAGAAAAGTGTGAGAATTAAGAGAGTCAGAAGGAAGAACAGTAAAAAGAATCTTTGTTTTCTCAGAACTGACAGAAGGAAGCAGGATGTCTGTCGTACCTTGGAAGATGGTAAATTTCCTTCCGTGGTCAAAGCAGCTTAGATTAGACCGAAGTCTATGTGATAGGCTCGTAGGCCTTCTGCGCCGCTCTCAATCAGGACATTTTCCACTTTAATATCTCTGTTTGCATCCTGAAGTTGAATCGTTGCTTCCACCAGCTGTTTTCATATAATCTACAAGTCAAAAATGATTTGAAGCTCAAAATTCTGCACAGATTGATGTTGGACTTTCATGAGAAATGTAAAGGTTTTTATTTTCATGTGGATTTTTTTTTCCTATTGTCACATTACACCCACACACTTCAATGTTTGTAGAGACATAATGTGATGCATAAATGTAAAGTTTTAGAAAATTGTTTTGCGGAGGGACTATTGCTCTATATTTCATCATTCTGATTTCATCTTATTCACTATGAAACAAAATCCCCAAAAGCAAATGAAGCAGTAACTGACAGTATCTCAGAAACCCACCTGAATTTCCATTTAGACAACCTCCATGCTCATCAGGGTAGACAGTGAAGTCCTCTGAAGCCTTGGGCCTCTCCGTCACTAGGAGCAAGCAGCTCCTGCTCCAGTTCATACCAGTCCAGCAGGGACACCACGGCATGATGAACTAGTAGTTAGATTCCTCATTTTCAACATGATGGCCACCTCCAACGCCATCTCTTCTTCTTTTGTCTTCTTCCTCCCACTCCTCAGCTTGTGGTTCCTCAGTGTCCTCGTCCTCTCCCTCTTCAGATTCCTCTTCCGTAAATCGGCTATTTCCTGAGCTGCAAAGTTGGACTCTAAAAATGAGAATACTCTGAAAATATTCACAGAGTAAAATATTTTCCCATTCTTCTGCAAAGACAAGTCTAAGCTAAATCAGATTTGATGGAAAACATCTTTGAATGTGAACTGTAGATCCTCGCGAGATATTTTCAATCTGATGTCTGCTTGGACTGTGACTAGAACTTTGTATTGTTATGTCTCAGAATGATGTGCAGCGTTTTCAGTCACACGCCTGCTCTTTTGCATTTAGCCTAGAATCAAAATTTTGTTTTTGACTTGCGGAAACTTTAGATTGGGTTTCTGGTGGCTTTCTCTAACAGACCTCTGAGCCTTTGGAAAACATCTGGATATATGCTGAGGTTAAGTCACACTCTATTTAACTCTGTTTACAACAATGGGATTTCTGAAGGCAATCGGTGCATTATTTTTACTTAGTGCCTCTTTTCCTTTGATCAATTTTCAGGTTTGACACCATGTCTGCTTTTATATATAATTTTTGGTCCGTCAACATACAGAAATGAAAATTAACATTAGTTTTACTAAAGCAGCCAACCTATGAAGATGTCCACTGAGGAGAAAGACTCTCTGGTTGGCACCTGCTCCTGGATTTCTTCCTTCCTTGGCCGGCGTTGAACTTTCTTCTTTTCCTTCTGTCATTTTCATCTTCAGTATCCTCCTTGTTCTGATCTGGTCCTGGCAGCTTCTTGTGGCTCCGGCCATCTCTGATCCCTTTTCTGTGGATCTCATCTCTAGAATTTATTTCCTTTATTTGGTCTGCAGTCTTCAGCAGACTCTGTACTTGGTAAGCATCGTGCTGCTGCTTATCTCTGAAGTAAGAGAAATTGGGGAAAAGTTTGATTGTTTTTTTTTTTAAAGTTTGGTCTGGCATTTTGGTCTGTCAACATAACATAGAGGAAATTAAGAGTAGCTTCACCAAAGCAGCCAACCTATGCTGATGTCCACTGAGAATGGGGGCTCCTTGGTTACACCCTTCGGCAGGAGTTCCTTATTCTTCCTCTTGGCCAGTGTCTTGGGATGAAGTACCATCCCAAGATGGATGGATGGAGATTCCTCTCCGTCCGTCCGTCCGTCCATCCATCCATCCATCCATCCATCCATCCATCCATACATCCATCCATCCATCCATTTTCTAACACCCTTGTCCCTAATGGTGTCGGGAGATGCTATTGCCTATCTCCAGCTAACGTTCCGGGCTAGAGGCGGGGTACACCCTAGACAGGTCGCCAGTCTGTCGCAGGACGAGATCCCTCTCCTTCTTCTATTATTTTCTTCTTCAGTCTACTCAGAATCCTCGTCTGGTTCTGGTGGCTTATGGACGGTCCGATCATCTTAGGAACCCTGGTCCATTTTCTGCGGTTCTTATTTTTAACCCTTTTCCTTTTCTTTGGTGTGCTGTCCTTAACAGACTCGGCTCTCTGTGGCGTCATGCTGCTGATCTCTAAAGTAAGAGATGTTGGGATTAAATAGTGATTTTTTTTTTTACATTCTGGTCTGTCAATATAAGCAAGTTAACATTAGTTTCACCAAAGCAGCCAACCTATGAGGATGTCTACTGCTGGTCTTAGGAAAGGTAATTTTATAGGACATTTTCAGCAACATGGAAGTTCAAAGTACTTTACATGAATTAAAAGGAAATACAAACAAAACACAAAAGCAAAGAAAGATAAAAAAGTAAAGTACAAAGCTAAATATTGGTTCCCCATGTTTAATAAGAATAAGTAGTCCATAATTTACAAACCAGTAGTGGTTTCTCTTGATCTTACGCTTGTTCTGGATTAGAGAGGGATACATTTTACATTATAATGTGAGATATTTACACAGAAAGATGTTACATTCACAACCCTCACATGGCTGCAGCAAAAATCCATATACTGCATATGGGAATTTTGTCTGGCTGAAACTCCACAAACAAAGAAAATACAGAGAATACTTACTTATACTTATCTAGCAACCCAGAAGAGGGATTAGAACAAACTTAGAATCCAGCAACTCTGAACAGGAATGGAGTACTGCAACCTATCTCGCAACCCTGATCAGGAGTATCTAGTTTATATACTTCAGCTTCTTTTGTTTCTTTTAGTTTGTTTTGTTTGCATTTCCTTAATTCATGTGAAGCACTTTGAATTGCATTGTTGCTGAAAATGTGCTATATAAATAAAATTACCTTATCTCACATCTTCCACAATTTAGCAGATCTTGGTGGTCCAAGGAAAAGTGTAAAATCTTGCATCTGGAGCAATAATGGGACACTGCATAGCTACGTATGATTTCCAAGAGTGTGGCCATCACAAGCGACTGTACACACCAGCCTCTATCTAGCTAAATCTATCTAGGTAGATACACGGGGCTGCAATTATTTTACTCATTCTGTCAAATAATTGCATAAAAACTTGGCAGTATGCAGATTTTTCATTTACCACTCAAGCCCTTTTTATACATTAGAAACACATTAAAAGGTACAAATAAACAATTGAATTCCTCTTTTTAAAATAAGAAAACAAAAAACATGTATTCCCAAAATTTAATAACAGCATTACTTTTGTGAACGCTTGATCATTTGTAAGAAAGGATGCTTCAACAGCCAAAAAAAATACTTATAACAGATCAGAGAAAACGACAGAAATCAACAGAAATAACAAATGAGATAACTAATCTTCAAAACAAAACATCTCAGTTAAATTTCCTTTTTCAAATAAAACTGTTAGTTCACAAAATGCATTTCAGTACATTCCAAATATAATTAACTGATTATCCGAAGGCGGTCATATAATCTGTATGAACTAATTAATTTAATGACAACATTTCTTTTGTGAAGGAAGGATGCTTCAACAGCTAAAAAATACTTCCAACATGTGAAAAACTCAACCCTTTCTGGTTGCATGCAACCCAAGACACAAAAATGATGAATACTTAAGCTGTTGATGAAGCAAAATAAGGAGTAATTTTAAGTTTTCTGACAGATTTTTATTTTAAAATGACTTGGTATTCCAAAGTTGTTGATGCCAGCCACTCCTGATAACGTTCTCTGGGCCCTTGGAAGGGAGACAGGCCTCCAGTATCACAGATAATCCACCATATAATACTATTGTTGTTATTTTATGCGATTACCCACATGCAGTGTTTGTTTCTGGGAAGCCAAGTTTTTATTTTGCAAAAATATACATACATTGATTTTATTATATTACCCCATTGACTACATTCAAACGTTTTTGTTGTTGTTGTTTTTTTCCATTTCAGTTTGAGATATTAAGAGAGTAACAATAAAATTTGTCTGAAGATTTTCTACATGTTTACCAGAGATGCTATTAAGCGTGAAAGATGCTGCATTTCTTTCTAACCCGAAGAGTTAAAAACAACTCTTTCTCTCAAGAAAGAGAAACTGAGCATCATACACCAACAACTTTACGAGTTTTTTAACTGAATATGCAAGTGAATACATTCAAAAGCTAAGAAAGACCGAAACAATAACAAACAAGAAAAGACAGTTTAAAAAAAAGATCCTAAAATCTCTCGCCTTCTCGCCTTTAAAGGTTTTTGGTCAGACCATCGAACGTCATATCCTCGAAAGCTTTCTTTTGTCTTTCACTACAACTACCACTTGGTGGCGATAGTGTTCGCATTATACCGCATTTGTAATTTCACTACCTCGACAAAGTGGTTCTGATATTTTTCTAGATAGCAGCAGATAAGAAATGACAGCAGCATATATACAACATCACATCATTTTGAGCAATAACGAGACCCTGAGAGAGAATAAGACCCACATGTGCTGACAAACCACAGACAGCTGCAGGTAAATCAGAGGTTTGGTTATTCTTAAACCAGTGTTGAATTTGAAAACGTGTTCTGGACTAAAATGTAACTTTGCGAGTCCTTTTGAGTCCAGAGCAGGTGGTAAATGTGACAGCAACCGTCTGTTTTATTGCTGAGCGGTGTAAACACACAGTCACTCTGTAGGTGGCCGCGGCTGGACCGAAACCAGCTGCTGAGAGTGTTGAGTATTGTCACTTCTTAGGTGAAACTGAAATTTTGCCGTTCTTCAGCCTTCCTTTGTATTATTTTTTTTTTTATTCCTAAAGCCACCTGAGCAAATTCTAGGGAGTCCTGTGCAGGATAAAAATGGCTTATGGTATTAGCTATCCGCTTGGTAGTAAACTGAAGGATTTGTTTCACCACTGCTTTAGCAACATGGAGGCACCATTCCAACTTGTAATAAAAATGTTCTTTTTAACAGTTAAAACACTTTTTTAAAACTGTTTTTCCCTGACAATTCTGCATTAAGTAAAATTAATTTTGTTGGCATTACAACCTCAGCTTCATTTTTTCAAAAATAATTTGGACTTGACCTCTGTTCCTGGCATGAGACACATCCCTCCCAAGAGCTTTTTCTTCATTTCTTTATGTGTTCTTCTAACTACGATTTATGCTCATGTTGACTCACAGGAGCATAAATAATAATCCTGACAGAAATTCACGGGGTACATTTTATTATGGCAACATATTATTTTGGTTTAAGTGTAAAGCAACAGAATTTACCATCGACACAATTTGCTAGAACAAAAAGAATGACTCCTATTTTACTGGAAAGAGACTTTTTGATAAGTGAAGGAGAAAGAATGGAGGTCATCTGCTTTGACCAATAGGATGAAGGTATAAAAAAATAGGCAGGCTTTGGACAGCAGCGATAACGTAGTGAGAGGAGAAGTCAGGGAGGTTCAGACATTCAGAAGTAGGAAGAAGCTTCAGAAGAAAACTAAAACATTAACTTTATGGAGAATGAACCTGAGGGAATTTGCCAAACGTTTGTGCTAGGTTTGTGTTGCTTTGTGCAGCAAACATTTTCATTTGTGCCGCTATCATTCTAACGATATTAAGAAATGTTTCTAAAGGTCGTGAAAGGTCAACCAGACCCCCCACCTTCTTCAAATCAGACAAAATTGGAGTCAACCAACTCAGCTATGTTTGTGCTGGTTTGTGCAGCAAAAATATGTGGGGGTAAGTGGGACCTTTAAACTTTCATTAATATCTTCAAAGCCAAAGCAGCACAAGCAAAAATTTTACCTGCACAAACGTAGTCGAGTTGACTGACACCAATTTTGTTTGATTTGCAGGAGGTGGGGGGGCTGGATGACCTTTCATGACCTCTGGGAGCATTCCTTAATATCTTTAAAGTGATATCAGCACAAACGAAGATTTTTGCTGCACAAACGTTTGACACCGTTTTTGTATGATTTGAAGAAGGTGGGGGATGGGGTGCAACTTCACTCAAGTTTAGAATGAAAGTAGAGTAAAGCAGATTAGTGAGCTATTTGATCAGTAGTATAACAAACTCGTCATAAAACCATTTTTATGTAGAGGTTCTGCTAGTTAATTCATATTTAGCTNATGAAATAAATGCTAACAACTACTTGNGNAAGAAATTATGGCTCCAACTGTTCATTCAGCATCGTTTTTACACACATTTTTCAATTCCAAATTGTAGAAACGTGAATGCTTGTTGGCCATTTTCTACGCCGTTTCAGATAAGCTTATCTGAAACTGAGAGGAAGCGGGTGGATAAGAAGGCCAGCTCTGTGCTGGGATGCCTCCTCAATCCCGTTCAAGTAGTGGGAGACAGAAGACCTTGGGCTAAAAATCAAATCACTATTGGACAATGTCTCCCATCCCATACATAAATTGGATAACTCCTTCAGTGACAGATTGCTGCATCCCTATAGGAGCACAAAGGAGTGTTTTCAAGGATCCTTACTCCCTGCAGCTGTGAGCAAGACAGAAGCTAAAATGTCAAGACAGGTCCAAAAAAATATCTTTAGAGAGAGTTTTCAAAGGTTTTATAGACAGGTGTATGGTGGCCCTCAAGCCACTTCATCAATTTGTTAAACACAACTATGAATTTTATGACTAAACAACATATTCAAAAATACACCAATTACTTAGCACAATAATAAATTAAGAAAACACAGTGTCATTAACTAAGCACAAGTACAAATTGCAAAACTCAAAAACATTAACAAAACATAATAATCCTGCACACTAAGGTTTTTTCACACCTCATATTTCATTAAATTTGGTTCAACTGGGGTCCAAAAATGCAACATTTTCAGCTAATACGGTTCACTTTCACATTGCACTGTGTCAAACGCTCCAAACCCTCTGAAAAGCTTGCTCCCTTCATCGCCTGTAGTGGCGTATACAACATATGAACCTCTGAACAAGACACTGAGCGCAACTTCCTTCTTCACAAATAGTAAACAAAAATGGAGTGGCGTCAGATTTTAATGACTGTAGGATTTTTCTTTTGTTTGGTGAAAGACCATGAGTCATTTTCCTGCTAACACAAGACTTGCGTGTTTCTTTTTGTTGTATTTACCCGGAACACCCTGCGCTATAGTTCGCTTCCTGCTTTTGGAGCGTTCTCCGGTCCGCTTGCATTCACATATGCATTTGAACTGCGTTAGATTTTTAGGCGGACCAGAGTTTGGTCTTTTTGGTTCGCATCAGCATCAATTGGGCATTCACACCTCCCCAAACTAACTGTGCTTTCTAGACAAACTAACTAGACTTTGACACCAGCCCTGTTCGGTTTGTTCCAGAGTTCACAATCAATCTCTGATCATGTCTTCTCTGGAGGTTTTTGTGTAGCTTAATTCAGTGGTTCTTGGTGCAGCACCACAACAGGTGAAGTGGGGAAACAAGCTTTTCAGAGGGTTTAGTCTGTTTGGCACAGTGCAGTTTGAAATTGAACCGCAGCAGCTGAAAATGTAACAAATGTTGCCATTTTGGTCCCCAATCCAAAAGTCTACAGGACTACTAGGTATGAAAACGCCCAAATAGTTGCCCACTAATTGCTAACACTTCAAAATATTCTCCTTAGGAAGTTAACATCTCAGTTTTACTTTATTAAATATTCAGGTCTAAAGTTCTGTTGACATATTTTTATTGACTGAGAGCTCTGAAGAGCTCTAATAATAAAAACAAATGCTGAAGAATACAACTTTCCTTCTAACTGTGTGTAGAGTGAACTAGTAATAAATCTAAAACAGACAGGTTAATCGCTCAGGTTTTGTTGAAACATTTTTTAGGATGAATTAAAAAGGTTTAATTCATCTCTGCACACGAAGACGTCAAATGTGATATTTGCGCTTTAGAGTGTTGCTGTGGAAGATCAAATGGAAACTAGCCCAGCAGGAAACTATTATCCATTAAGATACCTGTAGTTACTTATGAATTACAGCCATTTGATCTTTGATATGAGTAGATAAGTGATCAGAAGGAGAATCGTAAACATCTGCCTGAAAGGAATTTCTAGAAAATTAAGAGGAATAAATCAAACTTTATGAATCTCCACTCTGCTATCTCCATATTTATTGCAGCCCAGGTAAATAAATATATGTGAAAGGAATTTAAAATAATTAAAGCCCTTCCTACAGGCGCATATCACACACAAAAAAATAGTACAAATTTCAACCATACATTTCAGTGGAACATAACGGGATTTTATGTGACAGACCGACACAAAGTGGCACCTAATTGTCAAGTGTCAAAATATATATATATATATATATATATATATATATATATATATATTTATTTTTTTTTAGGTTTATTAAGTAGGACGACAAGCTGTTGAGCTGCAGTAAGGTGATAATTTGACAGATTTCTTAAATATATATTGGCCATATTTCTGGGCAGCTTACAGGCTTTATGAGCAACAAGATGCTGGAGGCACATTTCCGATAAAGACGCTTAAAATGTAAAACTTTCTCCAACTGATGTCAGCCTCTCATTTTGAGCGTCTGCTTGGACCAAAGAGTAAATTATCAGAGCCGACTCATTTAAAGGGCGTACTAAGTGAGGTCAGGCTGTTCACATGAGCTCTGGCAGCGATCAGTGGGAGGATTCTGGCATCTGAATCCTCCCCTCCCTGAGATCCCAAAACACTCCAAACTGTTGTTTTAAAAAATATATATTATTATACATTCATAAAAAATATATATTTCACCCTTCTGGAAGGAGCCCTTCCGAAACCTCATTCCGCTCTCACAAATCTTCCCGAACAAGCGCGGACATTTTTGGGGATGAGTCCGTCCCGCCACGGTGAAGCGGATAGGAAGAGCAGGGGGGCAATCTGTTGCAGTGTAAACACAGCGCCAGAAAAGGCACTGGAATGTCTCTGCAGTGGGAGCTGGAGAACGAGGTCAGCCGGAGGCCAAGGCAGGTGGTATACATCAGAATCAAGGCTGACATCTCAGCATTAACTTATCCAAACAAGAGGCAGCCGGTATGTTATCCCGCGAGCGCTGGAGGAGGAGGAAGAGTGAGAGGAGGAGGAAGGAAGACTGAATATAAAGAAGTAGAGGAGTTTCAAAGAGGGGGAACTGACAGGAACAAGGGAGAACATCACTACAGGTCAGTAATCCCCCCTCCCCTCCACCCATCCAGTCCCCCACTGGGGAAACACACCAGTGTGTGGAGGAGGTGAAGCACAACATGGAGACTTCTTAAAGGCCTTGATCTTCGTCCTGTCACCCATCCTCAAACTTTCAGCTACAAATCTCTGGAAGTCAGTCAGCGATTATGTGTGTTGAGTTATCACATCATCAGCTAATGCCACTGCTGGCTGTTTGGATTTATTTATATCTGTAATAAAGCTTCTGCTGTGCGCTGAGCGCCACAATACCACCCAGATACACTTCTTCCTTCATGTCCACTCACTGGTCCAGATTTTTTTGTCAAAAAACAAAAAGCTCTTAAATGACGTGAACTTCTTATCATTCCTCTTCTTTGTTCAACTATCAGTTTTATAATGCATGAAAAGTATTTCAACCTCAACATAGTTTTGTTTTGTTTTTTTTCCACTTTTGTTTATGTTTCAGACCAGAAAATTACGGTATTGACTGAATATTTTAAAACAATATAAAGACAATGACTGAAAATGAAAGAACTTAGTAAGGCTATGACTGGAGAAAGTGTTGAAGTCTTACCACATAATTCTTCCATTCAGATCCACCTGGTTTTACTGTGGTAAAACCAGCTGGTTTCTTCTGAACCGGTCCATTAAAGCTTTTGGTTATATGTTTTAGGTCACTGTCCTGGTGGAAGGAGAACGCCACATCTTTCCACTTTTAAAGGGTTTTTGTCATTCATTGTGTTTCAGATTCCTCCATCTTGCCAGCCTCTTGGTCTCTGTTGAAGCGAAGCATCCCCCCCACAGCATGATGCTGCCACCACCATTTTTCACAGTGAGGATCTCGTGTTCAGACAAATGTAGCAACGTCCTCCAGAGAGTTACGGAAAAGATATTCACAAGGTTAGTCCGGAGAACTCGTTTTATTGGTGGGGGAATGGTAAAAAGTTTACAAAATTACGGTAAGCAAACGATTACAGAGATGGGATTTAAAAGTTAATTATTCAATATCAGTCCAGCTTATTATTCGCTATGACAACAGTCTCACGTCGGCCAAGTGGAAGTGGGCCGGCATGCTTTGCCATTCAACCAGACTGAATGAGTAAATTCAGTCAAAAATCCTCTCAACTAAAAATTTGGATTGATTCAGTTTTGATTTTAAACATGCATGACTGGAATTGTTTTCAGTATAATAACGCCAATGTTTTCCACGAATTAAAGTGTAATGTGAAAATGCATGCGCAGCGTGTTTAAAAATGTAACGGACGTCCTCATTCTCGAACATGAAGCGTTTCCGTGTCGCTTTAGATAGATTTACACGTCCAGTTGGAGAAACATCACCAGCTCCCAGGATCCCTCTCTGCACTAAACTCAATTTTGTTTATTTTCTTCTGTTCTAATTATGACTGGCTGCCGGAATGGTACAGTCTCAGGATAATGTTTCTTTTAAAAGTAGCTTGGCGCAGAGTTCGAATGAAGTTTTAGTGCCTGAACCGTTTTGATTTTAGTGCAGACAATATCTGAACAGAGAGGAGAGCAGGAACTGGATTTCTACAGGAAGGTGGAAATCAGCTTTTAAAATGTCACTATAGGATGTAGTGAGGTTTCCTGGATTGTTATTATCTGGAATTACGTATTTACATAGTAGAGCCTATAATTTATAGATCTCAAGTCCACACCAGGTTAAAGAAACCTCTACAAAATAATGAGAATTTTAAAGCCTCCAAAGGAACTCTTGTCTAACTTTTACATTTTACTCCTTGTCCGTCTCACAACCAACTCCTATTTTTAGCCAAGGCAGCTCACTGACCGGAGTACAAAATCCCGACCTCATTGAGAATCGCATATTAAATAAACTTCTCATCCATGACACTCATTTTGCGAGCAGCCTGAAATCCCGGAGATTACAGACTCTGTGCACCTCATCAGATCAAAACAGTTCTCCATAAATGGAGCCAAGTCGCAGTAAACAGTAATTACAAGTCATGGTGCTGATATGACCTATTATGGAAGACGGGAAAATGAAGCTGTTGTAGCCGACGGAGCGCGATTGTGATTGTGGGGTTTGGTGGAGCTGAGAGTGGCACTGACGGATTTCTGGCGGACTTAACATCGGACAAAGTCTTGAAACAAACCAGTAGTTGCTTAGAGATTTAAATTTCCATTTAGTTCAGTTCATCACTTCACACCAAATGTGATCTCGATTCACTTTTGATGACAAACTGGTTCAGTGTACATGCAAAAACATACAGTCGGGTGCAAGTTTTGTCTTTTTAATGTAGATATTCAATTAGAAATCTGTCCATTTTCACTGTAATTCACTGTAAAAGTGGTCTTTCTGTGGAAGCCCATCCAGGAGCTTAAAGTCACTGACCTTGTGGCAATCTCTAACTTTTTGCAAGCATGTGGTGACAGTGGAAAGGAGCAACTCCTTTTTTATCAGATTTTAATGGATCTTTGCTTTCTGAGGGCACACCCTGTGTGCTCAGTGACAATACATGCTTAACAACTTCTTTTCACAGTGTGTCTCCACATTATCATTTAACTTCTTCTACTAAATTAAAATAAAGACTTGTGGAAAGGTACTGTAATAAAAAATGCTTTAAACCTGAGTTGGAGCAATCTTCATTGTTATATGCAAAACTGAATTATTTACGTTGCTCCCAACATGTTAGTGAACAGAACTAAAATTATATTTTCTGTACAACTAGACTACCAGTTCTTGCATAAATTTACATAAACAAACCAGCATAAACATTTCTGGTAACATTAAAAGATTGCAAATATGATGCACTATTTTATCTCACTGAAACGTATCACCGGCATATGACATGGAATAAGGCTCAATTAAATTATAAAACCCCACACACACAGGGTTCTTCCATCTGTCCATATTTTTGGACTTTGGCTGCTTCCTCATTAATCTTCTGTCCAGCCTTTGTACCTGAAACTGACCACTAAAATCTAAGCTAACAGTAAAGAGTTAGCTTAGATTTTATTATTTTGAGAAAAATAAGAAAACGTATCAGGCCAAAAAAAAAAAGAAAAAAAATCCCACAGCACATGAAGGAAATCTGCATCTTTAAGAAAAACATAAAAATTCATCAAACGCATCAAATGGAAAAGTGGAAATATGTCGTCTTCAGAATGCCAGTTTATTAGCAAATAGCTTTTTAGAGAAACAATGAAGTCACATTCTTGTGCCATATTTGGTATTTTCCACAAATGGAGCAAAGGAGAGTAAACTAAATGAGCTCTATGAGCCAAGGGACTGGTAACAAAGTTCCTGAACATGTGATTCTTCTACCTTTTCAGTTCGGTTCATGTTTGATCCTTTGAGTTTGAGCATCTTTTCATGACTAAATGATTCATATTCATAGGTTAGAGGAAGGAGGTTCTGTTAAACACTAACAAAATGTATCTGAAGAGCAAAGGAAATCTTTTAAAACCTCCCCAAAGCCCAGAGAATATGAATTAAAAAAGAAATACAGTAAACTCCTGTTTTTCTTTCAGATATGTTGTGCAGGTGTTCTCTGCCTTCTGTTTCTTAGATCTTTAGTAACCTTGATAGTAACCTTGACCTACCTGGCTGCAGATGTCCGAATCCGCTACTCGAGCCACCTACAATAGGCCCTTTTGTTTCCCAGGAACAGTACTCTGACTTATTAAAAATATTACACTTCCCACCTTACCCACATCTGTTGAGATAAGTGTGTTTAAACATTCATGCAATGTAAAGAATATGGATCAACTGGACTTTGACAGAAGTTCTGCGTCAGCAGCTGAAACTAAGGAGCAACAACAGATCCATATATGTGTATTTTTTTTTTATTAAGGGAATTCCAGTAGATAACTCAGTGCAGGCAATGTTTTTTTTCTCTCATTGGTAGTTGAGCTTTAAATATTTCAAATATGTCTCCGTTCCTCACTCCTAGTTTTAGGAAGTGGGTGCATGTCATGCATTTAAGTGACATCACCAGGTTTCTCTAAAGTTGTGCGGTAAAAGTTGGAAAAGTTTCAGCCCATCCCTCCATCCATTGTCTCAACTGGAGCATTGGCCCCTTTAGATAAAACTCCCCCAGAAACTCAGTCTGTTGCATTTTTGATAAGAGATGAGCTCCGAAAACAGCGGGCAGCATCTAAATTATGCAGCCCCTCGCGTCCTCTTAGGGGCAAAAGCAGAGTTGGGTCGAGTTGTCAAATGGAACGAGCCATGACAGGCTTGCGAGCTGGGGGTGGTGACCATGCATTATGAATGGTGCTAAGTACGCCTCAGCTGGAGGGGCTGGGCGGAGGCAATCGAGGTTGATGGGATGGCGCCAACCTATTGGTCGGTCGTGGTTAATGCACTCGATTTTTGCCCTGAAAAATGCAGTTCTGCCATTATAAAACCCCCATCTTGCTATACAGTACACAGTATGTCCTTAAAAAGCCCAACTAAGGTACAGAATTTCCACTGTCTCTAAATAAAATGCATACCGTCTCTTTGCAGCGGGAATAAAGCAGGAGATGACTGTAAAATACGAAACCCCAAAAATCTGGGACTCAAGATTTTTAAAAGAATTTACATCTTTTGGTAATTTTCTTTCACAGTGTGGTCTTCATAAACATTGTTGTTGTATCAGTCTTCCAGACCTCTGAGGTGTTCTGGTTCTGGTCTGCTCTGCATCCCCAGAACCAAAACCAGAACCAAACATGCAGGAAATAGCATTCAGCTTCTATGAACCACAAATCTGGAACAAACTTCCAGAAAACTGCGAAACAGCTGAAACACTGAGTTCCTTTAAGCCAAGGCTAAAACTCCACTTGTTTATATAGTTGCCTTTGATTGGTAGTAAATGGAACATTGATCAACATATTTAATGTCTATTGATGATTTTGATAATGACGTTTGACGAAACGTAATGTATATTGTTTGTTTCATAATTGGCAACTGTATGATGTTTTTAAGATGTAAAGCGCTCTGAAATGCCTTGCTGCTGAAATGTGCTATGTAAATAAACCTGACTTGACTTCAAGAAATCTAGTTGTGTCTAAAAGCTTCTAGGCATCAGAAGCTTTAGGTATTGTTCAGGGAGACATTTTAAATATTGTAATGTGATATGTTCTCATTTACCAGTATCAGAGTCACCATTTACAGCATGTTGTAGAGCTCTTTTGTTTGAAACTAATTTTAGTTTCATTAGTGATAGCAACATTTTCCTTGATAATTTCCTTGTTACTTCTGTAGATCATCGCGATGAGTTTGAGAAACAGAGGATGCCCCTTTGTGACTTTAACTGAGGCGAATAAGGCATGTATTGTTTAGATGCTGTGTTCTTCTGTGACTTCCTGGATGAGTCGTTGATGTGCTCTTGAAATAATTTTGGTTGGCCGGCCACGCTTAATAAGATTCACTGCCGTTTCCTGTTTTCTCCATCCATGGATGAGGTCTTTGTAATCATTTCCAGACTGGCAGATGTTAGTGAGTCTGATTCTCAGCAGCTCTTTTGCTTTTTATATTGGGGGATGCTGTGTTGCTTTTTGATATATATTAGTTTTTTTCATGTGGTCAGATAATCTGTATAAATGATTTCTTAATTTTAAGCCTGGATGTCAACAGTGAAATTAAACCTAGCTTCAGGGGTGAAAAGCGGCAAATATTTAATTTTGAACAATGCTGAGACACTTTTTCTGTAAGGTCCAGGTTAGCTTAGATCCATTTTCCCCATTAATAAAACCAGTTGTATTCAATCAAGTAGCCTTTGCCCTATATAAAAATTTGTGTTGTCTTGAAACAATTAGGTGTGATAAAAACAACAAAACTCTGCCAGCTAGAAAATTCTGGTAGCTAGCATATTTTGCTAGCTAGCAAAGTAGCGCTGATGGTAAAATAGTTAAAGCAGATTAAAAATCAAAGTTATTTCCCAAAACACAGAAACAATGAGAACTAAACTGATATATTTATCCATAATTTAACCCGTATGAACATGTCAGGCTTACTATTCTCTGCTAGATACTTAAACAACAAACAGGAACTGAAACAAGATCTTGAGTTAAATTCTGGTATTTAGGTAGGATTAAAGCCCGTTAACTAAAAACAAACTTATCCTAGAATACAAGTGTTATGGAAAACCTTTACAAGCATATTCTTAAGTAAAATATAAAAAAGGAGAAAGAAAGAAAACATGCTTGTATTTAACAACCCCAGCCCAAAGTTTCTAATTTATACATTTGTCAGAATAAAAGCACAATCCAAATTATAAAAGGTCTGAAATAGATTCATATGTTTGTGAATTGACAACATTTTAAAATGTCCTGACCGTGATGATTAAACGGGCCCGCATGTCATCAGCTCTCATGCTTTGGAGAAATTGTCCTGAAATCTTGAGCTGCTCAGGCGAGTCCCAGAATCTGGTTTAATATTTGATGAAATTAGTTCTGCTCACTGCCTCCGCCTTCTTACGTCTTCTGAATGTCCACAGCTTATCGCTCCAACCTGAGTTTGTATTCTCTTTCTGTAAATGAGTTCATTTATTAGGGATAGATTAAAGCAATTGCCATGGCAAATTCTACTTAGAAAACTATGGAGGAACATTCGTATTGCACCACAGATTTTTCATACACAGCATGTATAATGGTGTAAAATGAACTCAATAGAATAATGTAGCTGGAATTAACTTAAATCTGACACAATATGTTTGTGCAGAACAGGCTATAACATGCATGGTCGGAGGATAACACACAGAAGAAAGGAAGAGAGCTGTTAATAGGGCTCGATTTAGTCCAAATGCAAAAGACAAAGTGTCTGTATCTATTTAATTCTGTTTTAGTCTACAACAACAAGTTGCCAGTCCATCACAGGTCAACACAGAGCGAGGCCAGAATAGGATTTAGAAAGAGACACAGATTTAAGTGCAGTCTAGTCCATGTTTTAGGATGTGGTAGAAATTTCAAACTCCACACAGGAAGTCCCTGGCGGGAATCCAAAACCATGTTCTACTCTTGGGAAATATTGAGAATTGAAGCTAGGGTTTCTAATTAATTATCTTATGCAAATATAAAAATAAATATGACCGTGATGTAAAATTGACATTGTAATTTGGGTGTGTTCAGAGCTTGACAAAGAGGCAAGAGCATTTTCGCTCTAAAACTCTTTAGACCTTAAAGGCTGATGGAAAATATCTGAAAAAGCAACAGGAAATGCTCAATTAGGAGTATTGTTTTGGGTTTATGTATGATTAGTGGAGCTAGATAATTTGATCTTCCTCTTAATCTGCCCATCTAAAGTTATGGTATTCTATAATATTTGAGTGTTATTTCTTTTCAGTAAAATGGCTCAAACAAGTTTTTTTCTGAAAACGAGAGCGTCTAAACAAAGAAATCCTCCAGGAATAAAACGTTAATCTCTTTGTCCTTCCACTATGATAAATCAGAGACCTTCACTCTCTAATCTCGGGCTTCGGGGTGAAAAGTGAGGCTAAAACCTGATGTTTATTCGGTGCTGATGAATTTAGTGTCTCTGAGCAGCACTGAAATAGGCCCGGCTGCTCTTCACTGCTGCGTTATTATCCAGAAGATGAGAGCCATGCCAAGGATCTGCGAAGCAGAACAGGAACAGGAGAATGTGTGTTTATCACGTGTTTGGATTGGTGATCAGAGATTTATGGCGTCTGAGATTCACTCGTTGTCACGATGAGATGTCTCACTGCACCGTCTGCAGAGTCCTGCACAGATTCTAGGCCAGAGGCAGCAAAGCAAAACAAGAACAAGGGAAAATGTTAGAACATGTGCAGGTTCTGGTACTTAAAAATGAGTAGAAACAAATCACACCATTAAGAAAATTGCAATTTCAGGGAGAAGAAAAACTTTTGAAATACTAGGGAGTGTTTACTTGCTAGAAAAGTGCAAAGTACTCCCAATGCCAATATCTACTACTTACTATATGTTTACTTACTTGAGCTCCAGATGACGCAGCGGACTCAAATATTTTGTTAAAGGACATAAACAAATCTATCCAAGATATTTATCACATCTTCATAAAAATTAACAAAACAGAATTTCTTTTTCCAATTTGCTTGCTACAGTCAAATACTGAACCCAAGTAGGTGAGCATTACAGAGTTGACTTTAATTAATAGTAACAAAGATTTTATTAAAAGCAGCAGCTGTCGGTCTGAACCAAATCACCCAACATCTGTCATTTATTCCATCCTTACTGCCCTTTTCGCCTCCTACCTTACATTTAGAAGCATTGTTAAACGACATGAGTCTCATTATAAATCCAAACAGCCAGAAGGATAATTTCCTCGCACTTACATGGAATCAACTATTGTGCTTAAAAGAAGAGGAGAGTTCTAGATTTTTGCATTTTCTAAGGTGAAAAGGTGAAAATATTTTACTGAGTAAAATAGGTAGAATAAAGTCTAAACCGAGAATCAGATCCGTCTTTCTCCTCTCTAATCAATAATCAAAATTAAAGAAATTAAACATAATCCTAATATACAAAGAGCACTGAGACTATAGAAAAAAATACTTTTTAAGAACCAACAGGTTATCAAAGGAGTATTGGATAACCAGGAAAAAAAGAAAAACTGAAGAGACCCAAAATTTCAGAGCCACCAAGATAATCCATTAATTTTCAGTACCAGACCGTCAGCTTCTGGGTATTGAAAGACGTCTTACATGAGTTATGGTATACCTCTTGTTGTTTTGTTTTGTTTTGTTTTGTTTTGTTTTGTTTTGTTTTGTTTTGTTTTGTTTTGGTTTGGTTTGGTTTGGTTTTTTTTTTTAGGAATTAAGTGAGACCGTAATTAACTCATTTGTCAAGTTCTGCAAATCGTCTTAAGACCATAAACTTTGTGTTTCATGACGTGCAGTGGGATCCCGCCTCCCCAACTTTAGAGAATGGCATATCAACAAGGAAGTAGCTTGTAATACTTCCAATTTTTGGGACAAAGTTTCATTCAGTATCCAACTTAACTTTGGATAATGACATTATAAATACAGTTGTATATTTTACCATTAAAAATAAACCATCTACAGTGTACCTGCTGCGGATCTGCACTGAACTTGAGCCACTTATGTTGGAATTCATCACAAGTTTATGAGAAAATTCACAAAGGAAAATGGGTGTGCCTTAATTACAGAGATTATTTCCTCCCACAAGGTTTTGGTCCAGGCCCCTTGGGGTGCCATTATCCTTTCAAGTTTGCTTATCCATCAAATCTGGTCTTTTATGAATTCTGCTTTTTGTAACATTGTCCATTTTGAACTCTTCTTTTCAGGCCAATCAATCATGCCCCAAGACTACGACTCAGATGGTCTGCGGTTTGGTAGCGGCCTGAATGTACGAGACGGGACGCAGCGCCGCAGTTACACGTCTTAATGTGAGACCGGGGCTGAAGTGCAGGGAGCCTCTTTCACAAAAACAGCTCCATAACACTGCTGGAAGCTGAAAATCCCCAGACACAAAGCTCATATTGATCCTCTGATCTCACCCTTCAAAAAGAAAGGAAAGCAAGCAAGTTGAACCCCTTCCGTAAGTTTGTATTTTTCCGAGCAGAAATCCACTCAGTTATCATTTTTGTTAACTTTTTTCTTGGGGTATGGGGGGTAAAAACTTAATTGCTGCACAATCCAAACACCTCAAAGAGACTTCCACTGAGCCGGGCTGTGGAATCGGAGGCAGGTCCTTCAGATAAGAACCGGTGCAAAACTCTGTTGTGTGTTCGCTTGCACGACAACCCATCTCCTGTTGTAATTATCTTCCATTTCTTTTCCCCTTTTTCGAGTGATTATCTTGTTTTTCCCTCCTTTTCCTGCTTTCTGCCTTTTCCCACCCCAGTCCTCGTCCCCCTGAGGAGCTGGCAGATCCCATCAGCGTTCGCTGGCTGGGAATCTGCTGCCCTTTGGTTTAAATAGCATAACCCTCCACGTCCCATATTGCGTACACAAACAGGAAGTTAAGGCCTCACTTCTGAGGGAGGATGCTATGAAAGTGTTTATTCTCTGCTAACTTACTGCGTGTTGTGTATGCACTGCCTCATAGACAATGTGGCTCTGAGAAGTATTTTTAACTTTCGTTTTCTGTCACATATCTCTGCTGCTTGATTTTTTTGGGGGGGTTTATTCAATTTGGGGAGGGGGGTTTATATTCTTTCCCATGTTGAAGAAAATCTCTGCGGACTGGGTTTGCCTTCGTGAGAAAATTGCAATTTAAATGGTCCCAGTAGGTCCTTTTTTCAGTATTTCCTCCTGCTAGGAATGCTTGGACTGGGACATTTTTCTGTGCCTTTGGAAATAAGTCCATTCCGTTTCCACACTCGTCTTGGCTCCTGATAATTCTCCAAATTCTGAAATAAGACTTGCGAGAACGATCGAGTGACTTACAGCGTGGAACAAGGGGGCTGAAGAAAAAAAAAAGAGAAAATGTTGTTTTCGTTTCAGAGCTACAAAGTACACACAGCCTCGGTAGTTGGCAAATCCTTGGGAACATTTTTTCGCTCATAGTTTTTGTTTTCAGCCTTGTGTGAAACAACAAATAACGCAGTCACAGCTGGCACAGATATTGTTGTCATTGTTAAAATGCATAATAGCGCCGAAATCCTGTAGAGATGGAGGCAATGAACTGGGGTTACTGTGTTCAAAAAATAGCCAGGCTATTTTTCTTTATAAATCCTTAATATTAACCCGTCAGTGGCCTGTGAGAACCCCGACTCTGAACTCCTGGACCAGGAGGTGAAAGAGACAGAAAGTCACTCAAAGTAGCTCAGTAAAGAAGTTGGTTTTATTACAAAGTAAAACAAATAGGAAATTATTGTAGGATTTTTTTTTCCTGTTCTATTGTAGCTTACATTTTCATTGCCAGAAAACTTGCAAATGTAAGAAATATCTATAAAAAGTCTCCAAGTAAATCATCCCCCCAAAAGTATGCTGATAGTCAGTTCAGTTCACTTCACATTATGGCTCTAATTCACAAGGCAAGTCATCCTAAAGCACTTATATCAAGATTTTAATGAGATCTGATCACACAGACTGATTCACAGTTAAGTACCAACATTTCAGATTCATCCTGGTTATCAGACAATACAGTCTAGTGCAGTTCATATTTTTATTTATTCCATGGTTAAATAATGTAAAAAATAATTTTACATAAAATGAAGAAAATGATATACAGCCCCCCAACCATCCTCTTCATGAAACGGAGCGTCTTCACTCTGAGGTTTCTTCAGATTCACTGTAATACAGATTATAACACACAATAACTCTTGATGTGTGTTACAACAACTTCTAACTTCCCCTTTGGATCAATAAAGTATTTCTAATAAATTAAAAGGTTTCCTCTCTAAGGAAATCCAGCAGATTGCATTGACTCCTTTCAGTAAAAACTCATTAAAAGCTTTGAGAGAGATGTTGTTAAACCTTGTATAGTAGTATAAAACATTAGCAGTTTTCATTTTTCAAAGATAGCTTTAAAATGTGACGATTGTATGTATGTCTATTCTAAGGCATTTCACTAAATGCATTGGAAACCGAGCAACTCATAAAACTGCAATGGTTAGAGCCGGATCCTGGTGCTTATTGAGTAAAAATGTAATTATGCTGGTTTTATCTGCAGAAGCAATTAATTTGTTCCACAACTTCTTCCTGCTATTTTGTAACACTCTGAATTTTTTAATTTTGTAGGATCCAACCTGTTCCACAGCACAATCACACAATTCATCTGTGTACATTGAATGTAAGTTTTATTTAATTCAGTTTCCCAAAATATTACTATAAATTAGTTAAGAAACGATCCACATTTTTCACTTCCGATAACCGATACAGATATCTGATGCAGAAAAACAGTGCTGAATTGACTTAAAGTGTTGAGTTTCAATATTGGTACCGATACAGATACTAATATTGGATCTGTGCATCTCTACTTTAAACAACCATTTATTTCAGCCCATTAAAGCAGCCAAATTTTAATTTGTATTTGTTGGGGCATCTTGTGAATCAAATTATTATTTTTGGGGCATTTGATTAGTCAATAACCAGACAATATTCATTTTCAGTAACCTTGTCTACAGACTGAACTTAAAAAAACAAAACAAAGATGGTGCATTTCATTTGTAGTTGCAACTCGTAAATTCTGACATCTGAATCTAAAGAATTAACTGGACAATCCCCCCACCCCACCAAAGTCGGAGTTTCCACTTGAAAAGTCTGAGAATTTCTCTAACGCCGACTATGAGATCCAATATGGCCGCTCTTCACATCAACAATACTAGGCTGAGATGGAGACATGTCTATGTTGCAAGATACACTTGTAGCAGTGCGTCAAAAATCAATGTCACATGTAGCGCCTGCAACTCTAAACTGAACAAATTAAAAGTGTTTTTTGCGGGTGGAAAGTATAACTTTAAGCAACGTTTGTAAGAGGTACAACCAATGACTGCATGGACATCACCATATTAGAACTGCGGCGTCTTTGACTATGCTAACTGGAATGCTGCTGACATGGATGTAACGTCATTCCCAGGTCCGAGTTCCAACTTCGGAGGTAAAAGGAACGCAGCATAGTTGACTTCCAGAAACTGCTTCTCCGGCTGCTGCAGTCCTTTCAGACCAAAACAGGAAGTGCTACAATGTTTGACACATGCTAGCAAAGACAACAGACACAATATTGCAACTGAAAGGGCAACTGGTTTTATCACCAGTTAATAAAGTACTACAGGCGATAATATTTCTTTGTAAGATCCCTCACTGAAAGAAAAACAGTTTTCCATGAATTCAGGCCGAGCGCAAGGATGCGCTGGCAGATTCCATGAGCTTTAATGTATTCATGAAGAGGGCTATTTATTGGACAAAGTATTCACGAAACGTCACAAAGGCTGCCCCCCTCCCCCACCTCCACGAGTGGGTGAAAAAGCTTCAAAGTTTCCTAGGACCTCCAAATGGATGTTTGGCTGGACCACAGAGGACACGGAGAACACAAGCTAAGTGCTTTAGCAGCGGGTGACGCTAACGTAGGAAGACAGGCTCAGTGTGGCGTGAAGCAGAAGAGTGCTGTGTGAGGTGACTTATGGGACAATGGGGCCGCTTTCTGCAAATAAAACATGAGGCTTATCCAGAGCCTCTGAACTATACAGTCTCAGCTTCTGTCAGGTGTTTTTGGGTGGAAAGAGAGGGAGGGATGGAGGGACGGGTGTGGCGGGGGTCGGATTTAGAGGCCCTGAAAGAAAAATGAATCGGTCGGATATCAGTGTTCTGCTCTGCTCCAACTATTGGAAGAACGCACTAAAGTCTAAGAATTGTATCCATCTTTTGATACATTTATCACTACTATAATTTCTCCACTTCTCTAAGTAAAGAAAATAGAAAAGAAAAAGAAAAGATCGACAGAGCTACAGTTTATTTTGGGTGAAATCAGGGGGTCATGTAGACCCAAATCTCAGATTTCGTACATTTTAAACACAATTCTTGCATGTTTTATCTGAACAGAGCGGCAGCACTAGATCACCGAATTAAGAACTAAGTGGACTCAGAGGTAAAGTCCAAACACCCCAAAACGTAACATAAATTATCTGCATAATGGAAATGAATTGGCTGTAGTAGGAATTAAGTTCAGGGAAAATCGTGCCTCTTTTCAACTTGAAATGTTTATTTTTCACAGTAAATCATAACAGTGAGTTCATCTTCTGGCCATGCCTATTGGTGTGATCACAAGTCAGAGTTAATGGGCTGATAACATCTGAATAGAGGAAAATGTGGGTGGGTTTAAGATGCACTAAACAGGTGTTTTCAAGGTTATTAGCATTTTTTTAGGGCCTCAGAGTAAAGTGCGGCGAAATCCTAATGCTTTTCACACCTCTGAGTTTTCATTGAAAACAATTTTGAAAACCATGTGTTCTTTTCGTCTTACTTCACAATTATGCGTCGTCTTGTGTTTTTTATTTATTTATTTATTTATTTATTTATTTACTTTTACAATTTCCAAATGCTTTTCAAACATTTGGAAAGCATTCACTTCAGCTACACTAAAACCTGAGTTGCATATATTTGATCCTGTGTGTATAATTTTAATCCTGCACAGATTTGAAAAAATCTTTGAAACATTTTCTCACCTCGTGCATCTAATTCTCGCTTCCCCTCACTCCCTTCAAAATATCTTCATCGTTTAAAGCCTGAAATAACCGCGACGCTCATTACCATGATGAGCATATGTAAACGTCTGACCGTATGGTAGCATGACTGCAACAAAAGAACTTGAATCCCTCTTAAGTATAAGTTTTGGTTAAACAAAAAAACAGTGTTAATCTCAGTGTTTGATTTTAGAGTTATGCAGCTTCTGCAATGTTACAGTTTCACTTTCGCACCATTCCTGCTACTCATAATTATTCTAAAAAGCGATTCTCATGACATTAGAAACAAATGTTTATCCTAAATGTTTGTTTAAGACTTTTATTCCCTTTGTGTTCATTAATCAGGAGGCCTTCGATTTGAGCATCTCTGGATATTTCCATCCAGCAACATCCCAGTTGTCAATTATGCAGAGCCTCTTTGGCAGCACTCAGGAGAAAGAGGCCGATGAGTTTATCTCCAAACAACTTGAAGTGTTCTGTAAAAATCCAACCGAGGAGATGTATAAATAAGAAATATTTTACGGCTCCACAGCCACACAAGGCTATCTTTGGCTGTGAAAAAGCCTCTGACATCTCTGAGCATAAAAGGTTTGGAGCTCCGGTGAGTCATTTCTTTGCTCTCTGCTCTCTTGTAGCTGATTGCGTCTTGCTTTCTCAAGCTGACATCTCTTGTAAGGGGTTTCTGGGCAAGAAGCAGGGAGTCCTGCAGCATTAATGACAAACTCTTGCTTGTTTTTATTAAGTAAAATAACAACAGAGAGACAATCAGGTGAAGAGTCCTGCCTCCAAACAGGAGGTGCGTCAAAAGTCCGGGCATTAGAAACGTTCCGTTCAAGCCGAACAATGAATACATTAACGCTCGCTCACTCACTGGCACGGTCAATATTTCATAGGCGGAGAGTGTCGGTGAAATGGTAAGCAGAGCGTAAAATGATGTTGTTCTTCCGCATCTTTAAGATTCAGCTGCAGACGGAAAGCAGATCTCCGCTTGGCGCTCAAACCCCGGATCTGTTCTTTACTTCCCGATGTTAATACTCTAATCTCACGTCAAACAAGCTCTTCCTATATGCTTTCGACTGAGCAGGAAACCAAAAGTGGTGTCCTCTTAGCCGTCTTAGAATCATACACCAGATGTTTTAGCAAAAGAAAAACATGTAGATTTGAAAGATTGTTTGTGGTGTTTTTTATTTATTTATTTATTTTAAAGAAAATTGTACAACATGTACTTGTAAGTAGTGGTTCAGGAGTTGATAAAGTTATGAGGAATTGACTGAACATGGACATGTTTAATCTTTGCACTTTGGACTAAGACGACAGCAAGACGTACATTTAAGGAAAGGCTGAAGCTACTTCCAGAAATATGTCTTGTAAAGTGTCCCGCTTTGTCTCCATATATGTACGTACATGGCTGAGTCTCTCCAACATGTGAAACGCACAAGACCGTGGCTATTTTTAGACCCAAAATCGAAGGAGAAATACAGTGGGAACACGTCTGTCCACTTCACCTCCTCCTCTTTCTCCTCCTCCTCCAGTCCTGATTGTGTTCCTATACAAAGTCAGGAAACCGTCTGGCCTCTGAGAGCTGCGTTGTTGTGAGGAAACCCGCTGCATGCTGGGCTCGCGTCCAGGGCCGAGCCTTAACTTGCGGCCCCGGCCAGCCTTTCACTCCACCCACACAGCCTCTGACATCGACATGGAGGCAAACAGTCAAAACACTCACAATGTGATTTATTTTTAACGTTATTGTGACACTTTCTATCTCATGCCCATCAGCAGCCGTTTGTCCAAATGGGTCGAAACAAGGCCCGTTCTTTGAAACGACACACAATAAATAAATGACTACTTATTTTATAGCCTTTGGACCAGAACTGTATTAGTGCATAGTTGTGATTGAATTTTACGGTTTTACAGTAAAATTGACTTTAAATGCTGAATTTTCTTACATTTTGAAATCATTTTTGACCTGTTTTCTTTTAATGACATCACAGGAAAGAAGCTAAAGTGTTACTCATAAAATATAATGAATATTTTCCAGGGTGTAATCTCTAGTATTTTTTTTTTATTTCATTAATTATAAAATATATTAGGGGAGAAATGTTGCCAAGTAGATTGTCCATGAAGGTAGGATATTAGCTACATTTTGCTGTGTTGAAATAGATGCATCTAGTAAAACATACTATTCATACTTCCTCTTCATTCACATTTAATAATATGATGGTTTTGATTGCATTTCAAAATCATCATCATTCACCTGCCTTGTTGCTGAAATGTGCTATGCAATCATTGCAAATTAATCCCATACAGTATTTATTGTTAAACATTAAAATTGTTCAAATGTTAATCAAGCATTTTAGTTTATAAATGCGACGTTTAATTAAGGTTAGATTCTGCTTTCCTTTATTAACAGATCCTATTTATCTACCTTGACTAGAACTGAATTGACGATGTTGGATCGTTCACCAGACGTCTGCATGTCTGATATAGTATATGGGTTGAATTATGAGTGAACATATTAATTTACAAGTGGTTAAGAGCTGTCATGAGTTTGTGCTTGTCCAGACTCCAGGTTTAGCTAGCTGGAGTTAAGTCAAACACGACAGCAAGCTGAAGGCCTTCACCCCGAAGCAGCTTTGATCAATAAGCAGCACATCTTAGCTGCGGTTGTCAGGGGAAACCGGTCGTACGCTACGTTTTCAGGACAGATTTTAAGAGTTTGTTAATAATTCATTGGCATTTTGTTATTTGGTCACAAATCCGTCTTTATTTGTTGATTTATTTTAACACGGAGGATCAAACATGTTGTGATGTTGTGATGAATAAAAATGTGTTTGCACTCCATCTTTCATAATTTGGGAGAAATCATTCTGAGTTAGTAGGTTTTAAAAGTTTTTTGATTTTGTAAGCCGAATAATTTATTTGTATTTAAATGAATTAATCGCAGTGAAAGCATTTGCAAATTTGAGAATATAATTATTTGTTTTCGAGTCAGTACATTTTTAATTTGATTTTTACTAATTATTTTAAGTGTCTGTTACTTTTTACATAATTCACACAATTCATGCAAGTAAAATGAACGCAGATTCCTACACCTATATTTATTTATTTACATTATTTAGCAGTTTATTCAGCTAACAATAATAAATAAATTGTAATCTAAAAATGAAATGTAACGTTTCTAATCAAATCTTGTCTAGAAGGAGAAGAAGCAGAACAACAGAGTGTTTAGCTGGTCAAACAAGTCATCACAAGAATAGGATAGAATTTTTATTATTATTATTATTATTATTATTATTGCTAAATTTGCTATTTAAATGGGCAAGAAATAATATCTTTCTTTGTTAAACATAAGCTGACCCGAAGCATAAGAATATGGTGCTTAGGTCACCCAGGCCAGCAGGGGGCACCCAAGACTCCTTGCATTCTCACACAATACATCTCAGTAAATGTTTTGCTGCTGTTGCTTGTTATCAAGTTAATAAAAAATTATGCAAATTTGAAACTGGATCCAGAGTTTTTAATTGTAGACTTAAATAAATAATATTTAAATCATTTTAAAATGTAAAAGAATTCACATGTATACAAATTTTCATAAGTTGAGGCACAATTTTAGAGTGTGAATAATCAATATTATCCCTGTTTGAGTCACACACGCTTTAACTACAAACAACTCTCCACAAGAAATTGTCCTTTATCAACCAGCATTGTCAGTCCTCCCAGATCTATTGAGTCAGTATTGAATTAGTTCACTTTAGATCTTATTGCAAGTACTAATGAGTAAATCAAAGAAATAACACAGCCACGCAAATTTATTCACAGCTTTTAGATAATGGCATTATATGTAGGTGGGCCCCCACGTCAAACCCTGATGAGGGCCCCATTTGACTTTGGGCCGGCCCTGCTGTTGCGTATACCGGCGGAGGGGCCGGCTGCTCCCGCAACAGCTGAGGCGGATCTGCAGCTTGATTACAGCACACAGCAGACTCCAACATAATTGATGACCTAATTGAAAAGCGGGAGGAGAGAGAGAGAGAAAGAGACGCTCCAATGAGAAAAGTTTACTTGTTCTCCGACTGAACAGTTCCCCCCTCCGTCCCCCCTAACACAGCTGAGGGCATTGATGTGAACGCAAGTCGCTTTCAGTTTTTTACGCGCACTTCTTTCCCCCCTCATCTCTCACCCTCACACACGGAGCACCTAATCCACCTTCGCACCTTTAGTTTTTTTTTTTTTTTAAGAGCGCGGTTTGTGTTTTCTTTTTCTTTTCTCCAGCAAATAAAAAAAAAAACCTTCTCTTTAATGAATGACTGTGTGTACTCCCGAACCGAACTCTGATAGCTCGTCCGCGCGACCTCACCTCGGCACATCATCTCCGCTGAAGTTCAGACGCCACCGGGACTTTTCACCGCAGCTTCAGACGCACTTCTTACAGGGGGGGAAATATCACTCGACCTGATTTTTCTGCCTCGCCACAGCCGAAGCGACCTTCAACATGAGTCTGAAAGCTGACTCTGAGCCTAATAACAACGTTTCCATCGAGGAGGAGGTGAGTCTGACTCAAGTTTTTTTTTATTCTGCTTCTTAAGTTTTTCGGTTCTACCTGGTCATATTGTAGCTTCCGGCCGCAAAATTCAGCCTCCTTCTAAAGCTTCAGAGTTTTAGCTCCTCACTGCGGTGCTGAAGCAGACAAGAGAGGGGGGGGGGAAAGAGCCAAATTAAAGGGACGTGACGGATTCATGGCGTCTATAGTGTCGGAATACTGTTTTCATTCTTATAATAATAATTTTGAAAATCTGAGTTGGTGTGTTTAACCTTCATAGCTCTTGTAATTTTGAATCATTTTCTTTTAAAATACTGTCAATTTTTTTCTTCAGGTTTTGGTGAATAAATTAAATTCCTAAATTAGCTCTGTTTTCCAGAATTTTTTTATTTGCTTTACTTCCAGTGTTTAATTGTTTTTTTTTGTTTTTCTTTTATACTATCACATACTTTGCAAATTCAATACTTTTTTATATATATATTTAAGCTTTTTTTTAATCAGACCTGTATTTAATACTCCTATAAATGTATTTAAAAATTTGTCTAAGTCATTTTAAAATATATCTGTCTTTTATTAAAAATAAAATCTGACCTTTGGAGTCTTCAGACCTTTGTTTTTTTTTCCCTAACAGGTGTATCTAATAAATGGCAGTAATCCTATAGTTCTTGGATGATTAAATGATTTTTCTGGCGATGAGCCTTTTAAAGCTGCCATTCTTCTCTCTGTGTGGCCAGCAGCTTTATTTCCTCTTAATGGCTCCTCATGGAGACGCTCTAAAGGAAGCAGCGGGCCTTATGTTGGTCCTCCTTTTGTTCCCATTATCCCATGACAAAGCCTTGTTTGGCCACTTGACTTTTCTCTTTTCTTACTCCTAATTTGCCTTGAAATCCCCTTCCACCCCCGTCGTATTTAGCAACAAATGGACTTGACTAAATCTTGGTGGGAGGGGAACAGATATTAAATGCTGCTGTAATATCCACCCCCTCAAAATATTTTGAGTTTTTAAATCATTTTTAGATTTTATTCCAACTGTTCAGTTTCAGATTTGCAGCTGCTCACTCATTGCTGTGGGATAAATCGAGACATCTTTACTGTGTTTGATCCTTGCAGAGCTGGTGTTAATCTGCTGTATACATTGACATGCACAAAAAAAAGGGCTCAGACTTGCTGCTGTGCAGCACCTGAAAAATGTCGGGAGAGCCGACAGGGCCGGGACCGCTGGTCAGAGGAAGGAAATGGTGTCATGCTGTGCGCTGTTGTCCAACGCTGTTCCTCTGGCTGCTCCATTGTACTTCAGGCCTCCCCGCCGACCGAGAACTAATGGGCCTCCCTGTTTATACGCCGGAATAAAGACACTGAATGTCCAGTCAAGGGGTATCTGTTGTTTCCTTCAGGCAGGATCAAAGATTCCCCTATTTTTAAATGGCTGCCTCTGATCAGCTTAGATTGCTGGAGAAACACAACTTCAGATTTTAAAATTTGTTAGTGAAAAGTATTTTAGATAATTTTCAAATCTGCCCAATTAAGCTAATATGTTCTGACATTCTCCTATGACTTGGTGACAGCCGAGGGGTGTTTGGCTATGAAGGCTTTCTATTGATGAACAAAAAAGATGTCAAGATTCATCTTTCCCAATACTATTATTTTTACCTTCCATATCTTTGGTTAATTTAAGAAATGCTGGAATGTGTCTTCAAGGATTTCTAGGCATTAATGGCTCCATATGCCATTTATACTTCCAGCTGATGCAGACTAATACGCCATTTTTGTTACTTCCTAAAGCATTTTTTTCTTATAAAGCAACATGTCTAATTCCATTTTCGTCTTTAGTGTTTTGTCAAATCTGTCACAGCTTTTGCACTGACTGCAAAGAGCTGAAGCAATGCCACAAAACTCTAAATGGGATCCTCAATTGAATAAATGGAACTGAATGAATCTGAAACTGAGCTGTGAGGATCGATGAAACTTGAGGGGGATTTTTACTTTATTTTTTTCAAAGGGGTTCAGAAAAACCAAAGGAGAAATGTCAATGTGAGGAATGTGGATGGGAAAGGTTGTTTATATTATCGGTACTGTTTGTTAAATTCTGAAAATTACACTGTTCAAAAGACGAACTGCATGCATCTGTTTTTGTGATGTCGAGGATGACTAGATTCTTTTTTTGTTTTTTCCTGTTTGCAGGTACGAACTCTGTTTGTCAGCGGCCTACCGGTTGACATCAAACCACGGGAACTTTACCTCCTTTTCAGACCTTTTAAGGCAAGTTGCAGCCCATATATTTCCAAGGATGGTCTACTGATTTTTTTTTTTAACTCAAGCTTTTCAGTGTGTAAATGGAATAAAGTTGATTTGTCATCCTCTTTAAAAAAAAAAAAAGGAAAAACATCAAGAGTAGCTGCTGTTTGCCTGCTGCTGGAGCAGTCATGGAAAGTGGTTGTGAAGGGATTATCTGTGCTGAGGCAGACTTTTAGTATTTAGGAAGCATTTGTCATCTGAATTGCAGGTTAATTTCTTTTTAAGCCCCTCTTCATTTCACCATAATACATAAACCATCCAGCGCTCTGCTCCTGGAGGAAGATCTCTGTGCAGCTATAGTCCCTCCATTAATAGAGGACCACATATTTGCATATATAAAAATGAGGCCACATCATTGTTAATCTATTAGTTGCTGGGGTTTTTTCCCGTCCTGTTCCATAAACACCCCCCCTCCTCCCACCGTTGTCCTAACGAAGCAAACTGGAAGTGGTGTCCCTCGCACATGGATGGTCCTGTGGAATGTGTAAATGAGTAGCTCTCCCGATTGGCCAAGCTGCTCTCTGTGACCCAGCTCTCACACAAGCAGGGAAATTTAGATATACACTCCAAACATTTGCACATTGTGAAACCACTGGAGTTTTTTCAGTTGGTTGTAGCTTTTCTTTTTGGTTTATCTTTTTATTTCAACACAAGGCAAACGCAGCTCGGCGTTGGCAAGTTGCTTCAATCAGGTCTGGGGAGGGAAACAAAAAAAGCTCGACAGCTTTTCAAGATGGTGTTTTCCTTGTTTATTGGAGGCCATTTTAGTTTTGGATTCTTGCCACAGATTGCGATGGAAAGTTTGGTTGTAAATCTGAATCAGGAGTGAATCATACTTTGTATGATCTTTGCCTTGTCAGCTACTCCTGCTGTTTTTTAAAATTGTAGACTAGTGTATTGAATATATCCTGGCATGTTTTTTGACAAGCATCACTACAGATGTGAAGTGCAGTTTTTTGATGGATCTGATGGCGTCCAGGCAGATTTGGTCTTCATGTAGTGAATCGTTTTATGCCTGACCTCCTTCATGTGACTTCATGGTGGATAATTGGCTATCTTTTTTTCCTGCAGGGTTATGAAGGGTCACTGATTAAGTTAACATCAAAACAGGTGAGGTGGTCTCAATCAGTCCTCTGGATGACTTCCAGACTGATTTATTCTTAATGGCTTTACAATTGACTTAATATTATTACTTTGCCAGATTTTAAAATGCATGTTTGTGGCGAGTCGTTGCATAAGTGGGCGCTTCTTTTGTCTTCCAGCCTGTCGGGTTTGTAACTTTTGACAGTCGCTCTGGAGCCGAAGCTGCAAAAAACGCTCTGAATGTAAGTTTTCATTCACCGATTTCATTTCTTTAAGAGTTTCACAGTTCCCCGTCCCCCTGTTTTTTCCATCTTCTACGTGTGTTGTGCTAACCTTTTTTTTGTTTAAACCCACAAATGTTTGGGACTTGATTGTGAGCAACATCATCTCGCTCTCTGAAATCTCTCAAAGCCAACCCGTTTTGTCTCTTACAATTCAATGGCAGGGCCATTTTTGGAAAGAGGCCAGAATCCCGTAGCCTTACGGTAGTTTACTTTGACCTTGATACACATCCTTCTTAGTCTGATAATAGCTTTCCTCAGTTTTGCATATCACTGCTTTACTGTAATACCTGTCTCATAGCCACATGTAGTTACTTGGACACATCTTTGGTAGTGTAACCTCTTATTTTTTTTGTCACTCGATAGCCCACATTGGCAGTATCTAACACTTCTCTCTCATAGCTTAGCATTCGTTATGAGCATCACCTCTTAGACACACCAGCAGAGGCACACATACACACACAACACATACACCAAAATACTACTCACCTGCATGTGGGCACAATGCTTAGGGCACAAAACACAAAAGCAGGGTTAGACCACCTAAAGGAAATTCCACTCTGTCTCGCTGTCGGCCCCTTCTCCTCGTCTCCTTCTCCTCCTGGCTCGCGCAGAGGCTGCACTCATCCGCCAGTCACCTCTGCTCTCGATTTGTCGTCACGAGGAAAAGGAGATGCAAGTGTGTCGAAATGCCAGAAGTGCATCCTTCAGATGGTGTTTTGACATCCTTTGTCGGAGGCTTGAAAGATGCACCCTGAGCATTGAAACACTGCTTTCAGGAAGGGGTGGGGTCCCGGCGAGACTGCTTAAACTAAGCCCCCCATGAACTCAGCTCGCCTCCCTTACGATCATATGTCCTCCTCCTCCATCTCTCCTCTCAGGGTATCCGTTTTGATCCCGAAAGTCCCCAGACCCTGCGCTTAGAGTTTGCTAAAGCCAACACGAAGATGGCAAAGAGTAAGCTGATGGCCACACCGAACCCCACAAATATCCACCCTGCTCTAGGAGCACACTTCATTGCACGGGACCCATGTAAGTTGTACGGCTTCACTACTCTAGGCCCTCATCCACACTCACCTTGTCAGTGCTCAGTGGCCCTTGTTGTCCTCTTTTTAAGACAAACAGATGTTATGGGATTAACTTCCATGGTTTGGGAGGGGTACGACAGGTTTTCTAACCAATTAAAGGACTAACTCACCTTCACGTGCATGTGTCATCTCGATTCTTCAGCCAGTTCCTTTTTGCTTCTGTACAGCGAGGGAAATTCCACTTGCAGGTTTTAGTCAGCAGTGACGTCTCTGCTCTCTTTGCCCGAACATCTGGTTGATTCATTAGTTTGAGGACTGATGGTAGTTGACAAGTGATGAGCTTCATTAAAGTCAGATCCCTCCTGGATAAATTTACTGTTGTGGTGTGGCAGATTGCCTTAAGTGAGGGTTTGTGGGGAGACTGAAGCTGGCTTATAAAAACAGTAAATCTTAGATACTTTACTCAACAGTTTTGGTACATTTAAAAAATTTACTTCCAAGTTTGTTTAAAAAGAGAGATTTATGTTTTTAGTGCACCAAAGAATAACCACTACTATGTAAATGACATAAAATGGTTAATTTGCCTTAAAGCTGCAGGATGATGCAACTTATTTTTTTTACACATTTGTAAAAATTATTTTGTGACGCATGAGACGGATAATCTGTGGGAAAAAATCCAAAAACATCCAAACAGAGCCAGGAGGAGGTCTTGGCACTGTTAATCATGCTTGTATACACGTTCCACATCCTCAATCCTGATGGTCTGTCATGAATGCTAGATCTAGTTAGCATGGCCGCCAATAACAGAAGATGAGCGGTTTTCCTGGAATGGTAAGTTGTTTTTCTGCCCTCAGCACAGTTAGAAGCACTTGCATGAGTGTGATTGATGGCGCCAGGACCCTCTGCCTGGCTCTGATTGGGTTTTTTTTTTTTTTATCGACAGCTGTGAATTTCTTCAGGTGACAATAGTAGCACTGGGAGCATTTTTCCCCCATAGGTTTGATCTCATACTGCCACAACAAAGTTTTAACAAATATGTGAATGTATATATATTTTTTTTCTCCATAAGTTTCATATTGCTGCAGCTTTAAGAATGCATTTTCAGCAGTACAGATGATGGCATTTCAGTACCAGTGACCAGACCTGTAACAGACACCAGACTTACTAGGTTATACTTTGATGGTGTATTTGGTCATCAGCATCCACTGATTTTTAACAAGCATTCATAGTTTGAGCAAATGCAGCAGCACAGTCAGCTTGTCTACTACCGTCCTGTACTCCCCCAGATGATCTGACAGGGGCAGCACTGATCCCAGCATCACCAGATGCCTGGACTCCATACCCGCTCTACACCACAGAGCTGACTCCAGGCCTCCCACACGCAGCCTTCACCTACCCGGCAGCTGCTGCCGCTGCCGCAGCGCTCCACGCCCAGGTGAGGGAGCAACCGGTGTGTTTCTCTTCTTCTTAAACTAACCTTCTGCACTCTGAAACTACGGTGGGGGTCGTATAGTTGATGTTGAAGTAGAAATTTTAAAGCGATTGGCACTAAATTGTCTATAATCCAAATAGGCTCTGCAAGTTTTTGCCCACTGGGGTGGAGCCCGGTGTAGATATGAGCCAGAAAACTTTGTGGAAGTTCAAACGATGGGTGATACTCACTGGTCACTTTATTAGACATCTACCTAGTGCCAGGTTGGGTCGCCTTTTTCATAGACTGTTTGAAGCACTCCCTTTAAAATTTTGGTCCATAGATTTGTCAATTGGAAATCCACCATCATGTTGTATACCAAATGTTTTATAATAAATTGATATCTGACTGTAAGCGCCGTGAACTTTATGTTCATGAACCTGCTTAAAGTGACTTAAACTGTTTATATTATGGTTTTGGAAATGGCCATCAGAAGACGGGTACACTTTGGACAAAAAGGTATCAGCAGAAATACTTGGGTTGGCTGTGGCATTTAAGCAGTTTTCAGTTAGAGTCAATTGTACAATCTTAATGTTGGGACTTGACTATTGACCAGTTTGAGTCTGAATTGTAGCCGTTTCCTGTTCTTGGCAAACCATCAGATTTACTAAGTTAAATATCTTGGTTGTAATAAGTCTTTGTTTGAGTTGATGTCTATTCTCTGACATCAAGGCATCTGCAAATTTCTGAAACTGCCAGACCATTCTGATACCCTGAGATGGTTCTGTGTTAGACCACCAGCAGATCAACTCTTCCTTCAGTGCTCAGATCAGCTCTTTCTGATGCTTGATTTTAACTTCGTCATCTTTACCACAACTCGGTCTCTAAAAGCATTTAGTCTCTGCGGTGTAATTTGGCAGTTGTGCTGACAAGAAATTAAATGGTGTATCCAGTAAAGTGGTTGTGTAATATCATTTTCTGAAGTGCAGAAAGGTTTCTTGCAATCCAGTTGAATTTGAATTCCTTCATGCTTTTATTTTTTTAAATCTGGAACACTCTGTGGACATACAACTTATTTTCCTTTAGCAGAGCTCTGCACATACCCACCTTATCAACTGAGCAGTTAAAAAAAAGGTGTGCTTCCTGATCTAAAAGTACAGTTTTCTTGGAATACAAAACAAAAATATTTGTACCTAAAAAGTAGTTTTACCTTTAAACTCAAGTGGCATTTCATTTGTTTGGACAAGCCAGCAACTAGGATCTTATTCTTGCAGTAAAATAAGCTCATTACATGTGTGAAAAAAGCTACATAGCATTATGTCATCCTGACACACAACAGCTACCAATAAAGGAATGGGCAGGACTTGCAACAATAGCAATGGAAAATATTTCTCATGTTGGGTCATTCAGAGTTCACTGCCAGCTAGCTTCCTCCAGGGTAGTGCTGCTCTACCCTGGAGTCAAAACCCATTTCGCCTGACTCCAGAGGCAGAGGAATGTCGGGTATTTGACTCGGAGAAATCGTCAGACTTGTTGATCTTCTCTGAAGGTGCCAACTAACTGTCCACCTTCTAGTTGGAGCAGAAGCTGACTGGGTAGCTGCACTTCTAATTGGATTCTGATGAAAGATCCTTAAAGTGCTCTGGTCTCGCCAAACGCTCCTCTACTAACTCCTTCCCATAATACTGTTACTTAAAGATAAAGGTCTGTAAATGGCTTCTAAAGGTGTTATTAAATCTGCCGGGTTGTTTAGTGGTAGTGAAGGAGGAAAGTGAGTCGAGGCCACGCGCTATTGATGGGTTTATTGGAACATAAATATGTCAGACACACAGAGGTTCAGTTCTCCACGTTTCCATGCTGGTAATTGCTTGGACAATTGTCCTTGTTAAGCAGCTACACATTCCCATGGCTTCAGAGAGCTGGGTTTAAAGGGGCAGTCCCCTGTTTTTGTGTCTTTTCAAAGGCTGATTTATTTATTTTTTTTAAGCATTTCTGCAGGAATTGGAACTAAAGCTTGGTTTTGGTCTGGTGTACATGACTTTGTCTGTGTTTCTTTAGATGCGCTGGTACCCTACTCCCTCTGAGACTTCCCAGCCTGGATGGAAGTCCCGGCAGTTTTGTTAGATATTTAGTGAGTAATCTCTTTGTTTTTTTTATTATTATTATTAGGGGGAGTTTTTTTTCAGAGCAGTCCCCTGAGTTCTTTACTAACCAGATGTAAAAAAAAAATAAATAAAATTGGAAATGCAATATTCAACTGACCCAGTGTTAAAACGTTATTTGGTGTAACGACAAAGTAGAACCTGAAGTAATATTTTGAGCTCTGCTCAGAAATCCATATAATTACTGGATCTTGGTCCAAAAAATGTATTAAGGAAAATCTTAAAGCCTATTGCATTTTCCAATAACTTATAACTTTCTTCAAAATAAATAGTGAAGTTAATTTAAAGTATTTCAATCTAAATTGAGTTGCTACATTTACCATGCAGATGTTTCAAGCATTTTCTTAGCAGCACTTGCAGTGAAAACCCACAATTCAGTCTCTCAATTTTCAATACTACAGGAGACCTTAACCATGTTTTATTCAGACCTCAGCCTACTATAGTACTGTGTACAGAATCGCAGTATAGTCCCTGGGCTTGCATTGTGAATTACAATGCATTGTGGCATGGAAGCATTGGTTGCTTTAAATTGGCCTCCAGCTTGTCTCATTGTTGCCTTTGGTGTCTACTTCCATTTATGAATACTCCATCGATTCTCCTTTGGGGTTTAGGTCGGGTGGGCTAGCATGGACAAGCGCCATAGCCTGCATCAAAATGAAACGATCGCCATAAAACTGTAGACAAAGTGTTTTCCTGTCAGATGGCTCCTGCAACTTTGGACTTGATAAAACACAGCAGAGCAGTAATGGACGACATGGCTCCCCAAATCAACTGGGAACGTCGCATTTGGATTCTCTGCTCTTTAGATTTGAAGACCATGTTTGCATACCCTTGTGGAGGGCTTCCATGATTGTGCTATACAGTTGTCTGAGAAACTGAATTTTGAGTTTTTATTTGGCTGTAAGCCATACTTAAAGTTGAAGTAAATGCTTCAAATATCACCAATCTGTTTGCTGAATTGAATTAAACTCTTCAATATATGAAATATGCCTGTATTTCCTAAAACGGATCTGCTGTGCTACTGCTACCTAAACATTACTCTTTATTTTAAATGGTAAAGTAGTAATTGGTGTAGATTTGGTGCACAGGAGTATTTGCAGCAGTAGGAAGGAAACTGGACGTATAAAGTGTAATTTTAGTTACTGTGGGAGAATATAACTCTGGTTTGAACTTTTTTTCCTTTGTCAGATGCTTTATTTAGATAATGCTACTTTGATCAATGTTTATGGAGGACTGTTTTCCTTTTAATCATTTTGAAAGTACTTCAGTGACTAACCCACTGTCATGAATGTTTGGAGCCAATATTAAACACTTCCAGATAATGGAAAAGTGGAGTGACTGGATTTTATTCATTGTTTTGTTACCAAAAAGTGTAATCCCCCCAGCCCTCCAATAATGGCTTGGTGTTTGTTTTTTGTTTTTTTAATGGTTGGAGTTGACTGAGAACACGCAGAAAACCCCAAAAATATATTTTATTGGCTGTTTTGTCTTCTAGACTTGGGGTTTTTTTGCTCCAGGTATTAGACCCATCCCCCAGTCATTTTAAAAAGAATCAGGTCACACATTTTTGAATCTTTTAACCTTTAGGTACTAGCGGAGCTCCAATTGCCACTGTTTAAAATACCAGACCGGTTGATTCTTGACCTGTGAAACATCTGGAACTGCATATAAATATAAATGAAGTTTAGATGTGGTAGGTGGGTCTGTTGGCTGGTCCCCTCACAACAGGGCAAAAGGAGACAGTAGCTGATTTTTTTTTCTTTTTTTCTCCTAGACTTTTGTGGCAGCATGAGATCTGCAGATGGGTTTCACATAAAAATATTGGTCAATCACCCAAAGTTGAGGAAAGTGGGGGGATTTGATTGGTACACCCCTATTAGATTCACAAGTGTTGAAACTGAAAATGGAGCTGGTCAGGGTTCCTAAAAAATGCAGTAACCCTTATGTGTAACTGGAAGCCAATTTCATGAGGTAAAGTTATAAAAGCCCCACAAAATGGACATTGTTTATTGAACTAATGATCTAATTGAACTGTGGAGACTAGCCACCCTGCAATACATTTTCTACCTTCAAGTGTCTTATGATTTTTTTTTCTATCCCTTTCAGATATTTTGGAGCCTTTTTTATTGTCCAAACTTTTGACCACATCCAAATTTTGTTACCCAATCTCAAGAATCGTCAAGCTATCAAAATATTTTTTTCTCTTGTAAATGTTCGGATGCATCAAATATACCCCACCAAACTTGGTTCACAACTTAAGACTGTGGTATTAATCAACTGGCTTCAGTTTTGATGTGTAACTATTTCTTTTTCCTGATTCATTGTAACAAAACACTCTTTGATCTGAGTTTTTTTTTTTTTTTTTTTCCTTCCAGTTCACTAACGTTTGTTTCCCCTGTGCTTTTCAGGCCTCTGGGAACTATACCTTCCTCCACCTGAAGTGAGGTTTGCCATGCTCTTCGTTTAATTTAATCCCATTTATTTAATGGACAAATGTGCGTTATTATAAACAGTATTTATATCTCCTTCCAGTTGTCTCTGGGGGGAGTTGGAGTTAAAACAATCTTGCTGTCGACAATCTGAACTTATCCTTGGCAACTACTTCGGTACCGTTAGCACTTCAGAATAACGTAGAACTCATGCAAAACCCAGTCAGACTCCATGGATCCTACCTGCTGAGGAAAACTGAAGTTACTGTTAAGCTCATCCTTCCATGGGTTGCCACTGCTCCTGGGAGGTTTAGAGGTGTTAAATCATTGCATGTTAGTCTTTTTGGCATGAACTTAGAGCGCAGATTCCTGTGTATCCTAATTTTCTTAGTGTTTGTGTTGCCATTTGGCCTAGACAGCAAAACGTTTTGTTTTTCTTCCTGTAGATCCTTGGTCTCTTACCTCTGTGTAAGCTAGGCTGTTGTGTAAATGGCTTATCTCGCATGGACCCTGTGAATGCATCCCTTCGTTTGAACAATCCTTGGCCTCTTTATCAGTGTGTGTCATTATTTGAGCAAAGGAAAGTGCAAAATTTTTTTTGTACTTTTTTGCGTAATGTATATTTATGCATTTTTGTGCAACTAAATAATGAACTATATAAGTTGGATGTTTAGTCGTCTCTTGTGTTTTTCGATCCTACATCCTGTTGAAGTAGTTAAAGTGCAATTTGTTTAAAGGGGACGTTGGAATTGGCTTGTGCCATTCTGCTAAAATGCGATTGTTTTACGGCAATCTTTCAGAATGTGAAACTGGACTAAAAATGTAAATGGTTGCTTTTTTTGGAAGGGGAGGGTTTGAGGGGGGTGGGGGGATGTTGAAATGTTTAGCAGGATTAGAGTGAAGGAATTTAGTTTGTGGTTTAGATAATGTTTGTCCTTGTATCTGCTGTGCATAAGATGTAAAAAAAAAAAAAAAAAAAAAATCCCATCTTATGAATAAAAAGTGAATGCATTCTTCTGTTTGGCATCTGTCATTTCTTTGCTGCATGTCGCTGACTAATCAAAGCTAAAACAGTCGGTCTACGGCAACTTCAACAACAAAAATAACCAGGAAGTGTCCAGCCATCAGATGTTTGCGTGAATTATTGATGCAAACTTTTCATTTGTAATGCATCACTGCATTGGCGTCTCTTTGCATCATTTGTGGCGCTGACCTCCACACTCTGCCCTCTCCTGTTCTGGGAAGATGCTCTGCTCAACCAACCATGCTGCGTCCTCCAGGGACTCGACTGTACTGTGTAACCAGCTGCCTCGTCCACACCGTGCTGGTGGTTAAACTAAACATGGCTAAGTTTTAATGTGCATACATTTTAGAGTACAATTTAGCATCTGGAATATCAAAGCTGATTTTAACCAGTTGGATCAACCAGCTCATTAAAGCTTTTGGCAAGAATGATTTTAGAAAATGAAGTGATGTGCACATGATGTAACTAAAGTTGTGAGGTGTAAAAGTGAAGTGAAGAGAGCATATGGATTTTCTAAATTAATTCAAAAATCATCTTGGTAAAATAAATTTAAAATGGTCTTAAAACCCCAGTGGCTACCTTCCTAGAAGCAAATGGTCTCTGAAGATTTCGTTATTTGCCCTTTGCTGAAAAATGGCTCATTTAACTTCACTTTCACACAGAAAATTTGAATTGACAGAAAATCAATAAGAAGTGGGTGGGGGGGATGTGAGATTAGATGGACTGAAGTTTGCTTCACCCAAGGACAATAGCTGCATGCCACATCTGTAGAAGGGTATATACATTTTTATTTTTCATTCGTGAACCTGAGAATGCTCTAAATGTTCTCATGGAGGAAATGAACTGGAATTCCAAGCTGCATGCTTCACTTTTTTTTTTTCTTAAAATAATGGGTGATGCAGATCGATCTTTATATGGAGAATATTATTTATTTTTTTCTAAGTGAACTCTAGGGAAAAATATAAGCATTCTAATCATTAAAGGATTCCTGCGGGGAATCGATGCTCTGTGGACTGGCGACCTCTTCAGGATGTGTCCTGCCTCAATGTCAAGAGGAGAAATACACACTGGTCCTCCTGCAAAGATTAAGCAGATGAATGGAAGATGTTTTTTTTTTTAATTAGGTGTTTATGTGCATATCAGTAACTGTTAGAGCTGAGTAAAAACTGATAGCAAAGTTAAAAAATAGATGAAATATGAGCATTATTTCCCCCCTTTTTCTATCTCGGACTCTGCTGCCCTCTGCTGATCAGAAATCAAGACACAAGTGAAGATCAAGCTGGAGTCAAAGCCTTTCATAAACAAGCATGCTGGAGACTGAAGTGAGTTTATTCATTTACTTTTAAAAATTATATTTTAGACTGCCCCCACCCTCTAAAGACATTAATATAAAGTATTTAGGTCAAGAACTAAGAAAGCGTCAGTTCTCAATAATAAAGGACTAAAGGAGGAAATGAAACAATGACGTATCAAATTAGCCAATTTTCAGTATATTAGTGCTTGACAACATGAACTAAGAGGTTAGTAGGCTATAAGAAAGATCAGCAGATCAGATTTTTTTCTCATATTCACAAAATGCATCAAAGCTTGAACATTCTTTGGTCTACGAGTGCACTAACTAATCGTCAGCATATTCTTTACAGCACATTGGTGAGAACCAGATGAACGTCATGAACAAATGACTGAAAATTACATTTAAATAATTGATGCTTGTTTACAGTTAGGTGTAGTCTTAAAACTTTTACTTTTAATGAGGATTATAGCCAGCATCTTAAATTACTTGAGCTTCTTCTATAGTCACGCTGCCATAGGCTGAGGCTGCTGGACGACATACTGAACACTCGTCCTCACTTTTTTCTCCTACTACTCTCCAGTTCTCCATTATTTACCGTTATTTCATCTTTTAACTTTCTGCTCTCTCTTTGTTTTTTCCCTTTGTAGGCACTACATCTGGCCAGGCTTTCTGCTGTTACCGTCCTGGAGGGACATCAGCTGAGTCAGTGCTGTTAATAACTGTTCTCTTCCTATAAATAATACACTTGTACACTTTATAAATAAGCTGAATTAAATCCTGTTATTTACTCTTCTTTTGGATTCATAACTACAACTGCTGTCAATGGACCAGCTGCACAGGTTTTTTTTCTCGTCATGGCCTTTCTGAATATGTTAAAGTCATGATTCAGATTTTGAAAAAAAAAAAAACTAGAAATCTGTAAGAAAAGCCTGATTCTTGTATCTCTTGTTTGGATTTAAAGTATGGACAAAAAGTGACATTTACAACTTTTTGCACTGTGCTGGATTCTGTTTGACTACATTTTGAATATTATTAAGCACTTTGATACTTAGATTATATATTTCTTTGTACAGAGGCTTCAGAAACACAACAGCCACAATCCATGCCTTGTGAACTCTTGAGTTATTACATTTCTTTAATAATAATAAAAAAATCTTTATTGGTATTGTGCAATAATCGAATTTTGTGAAACAGAATTGAAAATCTTGAACTCTAGCCAATTAAATTAACAAAGAAATGAAGAAAATGATAGATAGATAGATAGATAGATAGATAGATAGATAGATAGATAGATAGATAGATAGATAGATAGATAGATAGATAGATGTGATTCTGATTCTGGAGTTAGTTAGGGAAATTGACTAATTAAATATTGTTTTTATAAGTTTAAGTAAATTTAATGTCAAATGAAAATAAAATAGACTATTTTGTCTTCGCTCCCATGTCATCATATTCTATGTGACCGCGTGCTATGTTGTTGTATTTCGCGGTGAGCTCTTTGATGTTGAGCACGTGAACAGACGGAGGCCCTCGAGGCCCACTCATTCGTCCTGCACACGTTCAGCAGATTAAGACTAATTAGCTGCTAGCATACTTCATAAAAATGACCTTTTGCTGCAGGCCGGGGTCGTTATTGTGACATTTCTTTTAGGCTGTCTGTCCACATCATGGCGTTTTCCCTGGTGAGTCAAAAAAACGAAACTGAAGCGGCTTCAAACGAAGGCCACGTTGAAGTTAATAAATTTGACTTTTTGTGCGCCATGTCAACCTGTGGCGGGTCTTCTAATGGAACCAAGCACAACTTCTGAATAGAAACTTAAGTTTTTTCAAACTGAAACACAAATATAGCATTTGGTGCAGATTCGGGGCTAATTTCCCCCATATTCCTCCTTCTTTTTGCTGCTTCTTCACACAGAGAAACGATTCCCGTAGGCCTGAGAGCCCGGACACCGACTCCCCAGCTCTGTCCACCTGCAGCAACGCAGACATCTTCCGCAGGATGAACACCATGCTGGGCAACGCTCTGGACTTCACCGGCGTGTGCACCACACCCAACAGCACCAAGCACAAACCAGACCTGCTCTGTGGTAAAGACACGCTTCACTCAAAAAGTGTTTTTGTGTGTTTGGCTTTTTACGTGTTTTGTCCAAAAACAACCCGGAAATGAAGCATTGCACTCGAGTAGAAATGGCAATCGACTAGAGCTTGGAGTTCACCGATTTTCTGTTGACAGACTTTTATTGGTGATTAGCAAACAAAACGATTCTCCCCTATTCAATATGAGTCCAAACTGAAACCCTCCTCCTCCATTTTGCTTTATAAATGACCAATTAGGATGCCACAAATGGTTTTTTAGGTCTTGATATCAAATGGTGCATTTTTTATGTGCTGTTTAAATAGCATTTAAAACACTTTAGTTGTATTAAGTTCCAGCTCATGCAATTTAATATGAATAATGACGGACTTCTGCAACTAACTTCAAGTTACGCAAGCTGCTGTAAATACAGGAGGTCAAGCAAATGCTAATTGCTTTTAAGTTTATGTTGAATAAAATTGTAAATTTTTGTGGTTTCACACCATGAAAAATCTACTAAAAGAAGTCTGAGTGTCTCAACTCAAACATAATATCAATATTTCTTAATTTCCCAATCTGTCATTTGTGCCATTCTGTTGCATAACTCTAAAATCACTAGAAAGACAGCATAGCTTTTGTAATGTTTTTAAAATGTGACTTTTCTGAAGGCTCTCAAATATGAAATTCTACTTTATTTCATAGTGGGTTCATTTTATCCACAGTTTAACCTTATATGGAGGCAAAATAAAATGTATATCTATATGCCGTAAAGCTGAGTTCATTGTATTTACACATTTTAAAGCGTAAAGGGGAATAATGCAATCCAACAAAATGCATGAGTTTTAGAAACAAAACAGATTTAGGAAGCCTGGATTGGTATTGATCTTTTTTTTTCTTTTTTCTTTTTTTGTAGATTTAAAGAAAAAAGAAGAAACTATGAAACTTGGTGTAAATTGCTAAATTGAAATATTTAAATTTTGGGTTCAGCGAGTGCTGATGGAGTTTCACTTGGACATTTAAGCATAGAAACTTGTTCACCTCATCATTCAGTTGCCAAGAGCTGATTCATGCTGAATCACTGATCTGCAGCAATGCAGCAGTCTTAGCCCTGGGAGTAATATTTTTGCCAAGCAATAAGCTCACTGTAGCATCCATCTTAAATTAAGTTGCTAATTGTGCATCTGCACTCAGTGCATTGTTACTCCCTCTTTTTTTATGATGAAGCTCAAAAGGTCAAATGTTGTAACTTTCAGTTTTGTTTTTTTTTTTTGTTTTTTTTTTTTAAGTAAATTTGATCCTGGTGCAAAACGGAGAGCACAACTCGTGCCTTTGGCTCGGGGCCTGAGCCTCGGAGAGCTCGGCGTTGCTGAATCAGGGGGAGTAAATGGGTAGCTGGAAGCGTTCCGTGAGAGGAGAGGGAGGGAAGGGGTGGGAGTTCGCAGCGCATGTCTGCACAGACCTCATCTGATCAGTCAGCTGCTTCTGATGCAACAAGCCTTTTGCAAATGTGCTTCTGTTTAATTTTTTTTTTTATGGAAAATTCACAAAATGCAGATTGTTTGTTTAATAAAATCCCTGTGCATCTCAGAATGCGAGGTACTTTTGAGCTAAAAGTTTGCTGAGTCATTCCCTTCCTCCCTCCCTCCCCTTCTGCCTCTCAGGAAATCAGACTAGACCAAGTAAGCAGCGGCAGGAACGGTGGCAGCTGTCGCCCTCCTCACTCTGAAGCGGGGGGCGGAAAGGGTGGGGGAGGACTTCCATCTACAAACCGATAGCTTCGACTGGAATTTTGTCATTACACGGTTAAAGCAGGGGCAGCGGAGGAGGGCGAAGCTGATGTCATTAGAAGGGGTGTGCGAGTGCATCAGCAGCCATGTCACATGCTGCTAGGTGGGTCAGTGATGCGGACAGAGATGCATGGCAGTCGCACCAGGCACAGAGGCAGCAGGTTAGCTCCGCCGTCAGCCAGGGTAGGGGGAGACGTGACGACGATGATGATGAGGGAAGTTTTATTTTCTCACTTTCTCTTCACAGGGGAAAAGGACGGACCTCGCTCTGTCCTCATCTGCTGTTTTTATTTTCATTTCTTTGCTAATGCTTCCCTCTCTGTCTGTCTCTTCTCTGGTTTTGCTAACCGGCTGTAAAGAATCGGAGCTGGCTGCTGTGGGCGGCAGGAGGATGCTTTTCCCCAACTGCGGCAGCATACCCAACTCCCAGGACATCCCTTTATCCCGGGGCCCGTCGGATGTCACGGACCTGGGCCTCGGGCTCCAGTCGCTCCGTCTGTCCGGCTGGGACAGACCCTGGAGCAGTCAGGAGGCTGACTTGCATTCTCCCTCTTCCCAGGTTCAGAGCAGCTCTTCCTCCAGTAAGTGGCAAAGTGGAGTGTATCTAGGATTCACAGCCAGAGTCTCCAGAGTTGACTCTCTCTCTCTCGTTTTCATTTTTCAACATTCAGGTTGTTTTCTGTACATTTAATACTTGTGATAGTTCTGTGTGGGAGCAAGCTGTGGCATTGCTAAGGATGATGTGGCAGTTTTGCTTTGCTGCGTCTGTAGCAAGCAAACGGGCTACAAAAACGCGCTTTCGTTTTGATAACCTCACTAATGTTGCTACAGTCGGCTGTTAAATGTTGGCCAAGTTTAAAATGTAGTTTTTGACTTTGATTAGAAGAAGCTGTATTGGACCTGCACAATGCTGGGGAGAATAGCTAGTGATTATCCATAACCTTATTATTGACCATGTCCAATCAAACTCACTTGACCCTGTTTATAGGTGCCTAATCAGGGCCTGCAGCAGTGATTGAAACTCAGTCACTATTACAGCAAACCTTGTTACAGGAAGGAAGTCAGCAAACTGGTTTGGAAGAGGTGGCTGAACCGGCCTGCTGCTGCTGGGAGGGGAAAAAAGTTTAGCATTTTTTGCTTCTGGATTTCAGATCTCAAAATATTTGGAGATGCTTCATCATGCTTTGAGTAAGGCTGGGAATATGGCTTTAAAATAAAAACTTTAAGTTTGTTAAAATTTCTTCTTGCACCAAATTTGATTTTCCTCACTTTTTTCTCCTTAAACTTCAAATGACTGACTTTTATTCCAATAATTCCTCCTGTGAGTTGACTTGAATTCAAAGTGGAAATAAATAGGAAGTTTAAAACTTGTCAAACAAGATGGTAGTTGAGTGGGTTAATATCACTCTGGAATACCAAGCAGTAAATGGGTGAAAAAAGCTTTTAATTTTTATTTTTTCCCCTAAAACAGAGAATTTGATTAATTGTTAAAAATCAGCTTGCTGCCCAGCTGTAGGTAGAAGCCAGCTGGCTTATCTGATACTTTGTAGGCACATTGGTGCTGCCTCTGTTTCACTGCAGGCTTTCTGTTCTTCTAAATCGACATCGAACTGTGAATTCAGCACAACTGCCTTTCTTTTCTTTATTCAGTTGCAAAATGCAGGGAAGAAAGATGCATCTTCTAGAAACTTTATGCAGCCCGCTTGCTGACGAATCAATACAGCTCTGTAGAGTCAGCACGCTTGTCCCGTTTTCTTCTGCTTGTGCTGCTTTGTTGGTAACACACCGAACGTCTCATCCACCAGTGCTGGGCATGCTGAACAACCCTTTCAGTAGCATCCTGGGGAAGCCGCCGGGCTATCTGCCCCATGAGTCCATGAATGTGACCGCTGACTTCCTGGAGAAGTTCCCTGGCATGGCGCGGATGGCGAACCGACTGGACTCCAGCTCCTTCCTGGACTCCCGCTCCAGCAGCCCTGAAGACTCTGAGACCAGTGGGTTCAGCTCTGGATCAGATCACCTCTGCGACATGCTGGTAAGGCACATTGTTTCTCTTTACTCAAACTATTGTTTCCATTTTAAATAGTTTCGTTTTCCACCCTAGAATGGAGCTGGGTTTTCCTGAAATGCATGTTCATGAAGGATTTGGCTTAACAAATGACATTAGCTGACGCTGATGAGCAGATTTGTCTGAATGTTGCTGGCAAATCGTTCTCTGTTGCTTCATTTTTTAAAAGAACTCATCCTCCAGCTTAGACCTAATTTTACTTGGTTTTTGCGTCAGAGTACATTAGTATTTTCTTCCACTTTGTGCTCAGCAGAGCGGTTGTCCTTCCTCATTGAAGAGCAGAGGTTTGACTTCAGTCTTTGACATATTGGCAGAATAATTGCAGACGAAGCACAGGAACAATTGCTCTGATTGCACACAGGGGACCTCTTCATTGGAGCTTCTTAAAAAAACACTTGGCAACAATTTGACTTTTGCAGAGTAATCAAAGCCACTACAAATGATTTTTTTTTTCTTAAAATTGCCACATCTATTGGCTTAATGAGATTTTATTTACCTGAACAATTTACTTGTTGGACTCTAGAGATTTTTTGTTAATCTGTGGATCAGTAAAGTTAATGCAATACTTCACCTCACAGCTTTCAGGCTTAAACTGTCCAATACTTGAGGATGTTTTTGTTTTTTTGCTTTGGTAACAGGATAAAACTTGAAATATAATTAAGTGCATAATTGAAAAGTTCTTCAAATGTTCCCAAAGCCTCCACATTCAGGCTTTTATAGGCCAAGGGTCATTGATCAAAGAGTTTGATTATTTTTGTCTTTTGTTTCAGGGTGACTGTACAAGTGAGGGGGTGCACAATTTAATGCCCTTGACTTAAAATAGACATCTGCATTTTTTTTACAGCATGTTTTGCTTTTGCATTTTAACAATGATTCACATTTTGCACATTTACAGCCTGGTTTAAACACCTGAGATGGTTTTGTTTAACCAGAGCCTTCCAGATGGAGTCATAGAAAAAATAATCTAGACTGATACTCTGCTCCATCTCTACCGGAAATAATCTGGCCACGTCTTCCTCTTCAGTCTAATTTGCGGATCTCCCCTCCACTGCCTTACGTGACGTCCAACATGCAGAAGGACCTGCTGCGGCTGGGCTCGCGCCTGGACCCCCAGGACACAAGCTCCCCTTTGACCCCTCCGCCCAGCGCCAGCCCCGCCTCCTCCACCATCTCCCGCCGCTGGCGCTCCGGCTCCCCGTGGCCCGGCTCGGACATGCTCGACCAATCGGACGACGCGTTCAGCATCGAGAGGGAAGCCCGTCTGCACAGGCAGGCTGCAGGTACGCTGCTCGCTTGTCTTAAAGCTCTTTTTAAAGATCGGATAAGACTGTTTAACTTTCTTTTTTTTTTCTTTTTTTTTTTTTTGCATGAATTAGCTGTGAATGAGGCCACATTCACTTGGAGCGGTCAGCTGCCTCCCAGAAACAACAAGGATCCCATTTACTCCTGCAAGGTCTTTCTTGGTGGCGTGCCCTGGGACATCACCGAAGGTTCGTCTCAACATGAACTAGTAACATTTTGTATTTGCAAAATGGAAAATTTCTGTTCAACTCCTTCAGTGGGATAGAACTTGGAGGAAATACTTGGACCAGCTTGACAGAAATATAGATGAAATAAAATGTAATGTGAAATGTTAGAAATTCAGCCACTTTAATTTTTCTTCATACATGTTTCCATATGGAGATTAAACCTGAAGTAATTAAATATTTTATGGGAGCTTGGAGTCACTGAAAAATGCTTAGGTGTTTTCAGTGTTTGGAAAGTGCTTGATTTCTTTAGGTCCTTGAAAATGATTTAAACTGCAGTTTTGTAATGAAGTTCAATTTAATGTTTGAATTATTTACAGTTGCAACCAGATATTTTCACACACCTACAAAACAAATCTGTGCTCTTGGCAAGAGAACGCATTTTAGGAAATGGAAATAATTTTGATGTTTCTAACTGATGTAAAATGAGATAAATTTGCTCCAAGTTCAGACGGTGAGGTAAAAGTCTCGAGTAAAACATCTAGTTTCAACTGTGAATTGTGTTTAAGCATTTAGTTTGAGCAGGAAGGTCATTTATCTTAACGATGCATTTACATTGTTTTAGTGTAGTGAATATTTAACTCCGAGTCAATAGTGTAATTAAAACAATGTATTTTAAAACAATGTTATTGAAATTGGGGATTTGGTTAAATTAGTGTTTTGTTCTCAGACCAGTCAGACATTACCATGTCCCTCCAGTAAGGGCAATAGAAAACATTTAATAGTAAACTGAAACAGTCTTTCTTGGGTAATATGCATTTTTATTTCCAAAGTAAGAAAACTTTAAAGACTTGCCTTTACGATGCTTGAAAAGTGTTCGAACCCTGATATTCAACCAGATTAAAACATGGCTTCTCTGTTGCTGCTTGTGTCCAGCTGGCCTGATCAACACCTTCAGTGGGTATGGCCCTCTGACTGTGGAGTGGCCAGGTAAGGATGGAAAGCATCCCCGCTGCCCTCCTAAAGGTAATGTGGCTAAAGGTAACCGCGAGCTGGTAGGCTAATTTCCATATTCCCTCCTGGTTTTAGGGTGGACACGTGTGGGGAGCACACTGCATGCTGGGAATTTATCTGGTTACAGCACTCCTACATGGTGACTCTAGGCATAGAGATGGGCAGAATGTGGGGATAAGCGGGGAGCTAATTGGTATCTAAAACTATATTGAAATGGAAAAGCAGATGCTTTTTAGCCGGTATAGTGGTAAAGATGGTGGAAATTATTTCAATTGTCTTTGTTTAATTTTGCACATATTGCAATTTTATTTTCTGTTACCTTTTCTTTCTGAGTTAAAGATTGCTATGTGATTCAAAGGTCTGGTTGGAGTGGAAACGACAATGTAGTATTAAGAATTAATAAAAATGTAGAGGATATTAACAAAATGCGACTTAATACATGGCTTTGTTATGATATGACTATTGTGTAAATAGTCATATTATAACTTTCTCGTATTTCATCTATATTCTTGCACAACTTCTCGTGACTTTAATTTTCTTAAAGTGACCCCAATATTCCGATGTAAGAAATTGTTTTCAGGGTTTTAATCTGAATTTTTTTGAAAAATTTGAGATTTGCATGAACTCCAGATTTTAGACATGTTTCAGGGTTTAGATAAAATGATGCTAAATCGCGTTAATGTATTTTGCTCTGATATTGATGGGAGTCGAGGCAAAGAACATGTTTTGCTTTTATAAAAGAATGTCAGAAATGTAGCTTCAAGTCAGAGCTTCAGACCAAAACTACAACTCCTGTCAAAATGTGCAGGGTCACTTTAAACTGAGCAAATTTACAAGTTTTGTAAAATGGGGAAAGTAGTCCTGTGGTTGAATTTCACCAAAGATGCTAGCAAATGTTGGCCATTATTTATTTATTTTTTTTAATGCCACCAGGCTACGTTTACCTGGTGTTTGAAAACGAGAAGTCTGTGAGGGCGCTGCTCCAGGCGTGCTCCCAGGATCCCTTCCACCCAGAGGACAGTCGGGAGTATTACTTCAAGATGTCCAGCCGCAGAATGCGATGCAAAGATGTGAGTAGGAGCTGGCATTGTCACAAAGCTGGACTGTAACGGGTTTACATCTTACAAACCTGTGGAATCTGCTCCAGCATCAAACATTGGCTTTGTAATGTTCTGATTTCACATCGCTGTCTAGTAAAACTGTAAACGACCAGCATTAACTACACAGAAACAAACTGGCATCACGAGTTCCTCTGAAGAAAACCTCCATCTTTGTGCCACTTCAAACTGCATTCATGTTTTAGCTTTTCAAGCAAGGCCATGTCGATTTTTTTCATTTTATTTTTTTCCTTCCTCTGACAGGAAACTGTGGAACTGTTACCAAAACTTCTCAATGCCTTTTTCTTTGGCTCGAAGCTGCTTGTTTTGAAAGTACTCAAGTGATTTGGTTTTCTGAGCCACTGTGAAGATATGAACTGTTGAGAATAAGAAATCAGGAAAATGGATTTATTGCAGCAGTAACACGCGTCAACATTATGATGCTCCCTAAACTTCCAACGCTATGTACAATCAGATGTTGTGTTCAAGAATCTATTGCTGTAAGGCTGAATATATCCTGGTGTGAACACTTGAAATGTATCCAAAAAAGTCTAAACATTACAAAATACACAATTTACAATGGCTAAATAAAAACTCAAAGGCTTATTTAAAGTCAGCAATGCTTGGCCTATGTAGTTGAATTGTGAAAAGTATCATTGAGTGTCTCTGCTCTGTAACAAAAGCTGTGAGTTTCTAATTAGTGTTGTGCAGCAGTTCCCCTCAGGAAAGCTTGGAGGAGTGAGTTAGTCTTTACTTCTGAGCACAACTTCAAAATAATCAGTTCTGTTTTTAAATGACCCAAAGTCTTATTTAGAAACTGAAAGTGTTCAGCAAGGTGAGAACAGCTGGCTTCCTGCAGTTTCCACACAGATTCTACTGTTCAATGAGATTTCAATTGGTAAACGCAAAGATTCCTCATCGATTTACAGCAGATGATGTAACATTGTTACTGATGATTAACCCACATTTTCCTCACTCTTGGGGATTTACATGGCAAACGTTTTATAAAGTACTAGCACCATAGGCAAATGGACTTTTTTTTTTTACTTAGTTTTTCCAAGTGACAATGTGCCACTGCCACTGGAACTATGACTTTTCATCAATGAAGACATTGGACTTAAAATAATCTCTTGCTGAAAGGTTACTTATAATTTAGTTGTCGTCTTTTAGGTATCCGAAGATATTTGCACTAGAAACTAAACCAAAAATACTTAGGTTTTGTTTTCGCAGTGAAAACTCGCTGCATTATTTTAAAATGGGTTGTAATAAACATTGCAATTAAAGATACAACCCTACTGTTATTGAATCAACAAAGAAGTTGTGTTTCTACCAAGCTACTTAATTTTTTTTTTTCATTTTTCACTGGAATGTTTTTATCCCAACTCTCAGTAACTTGACCCCTGACCTGTCCTTTGCTGCTCCAGGTGCAGGTGATCCCCTGGGTGATCTCTGACAGCAACTACGTGCGCTGTCCCGCCCAGCGCCTGGACCCCAGTAAGACGGTGTTTGTCGGCGCTCTGCACGGCATGCTTAACGCCGAGGCGCTGGCCAGCATCATGAACGACCTGTTCGGGGGCGTCATGTATGCCGGCATCGACACGGACAAGCACAAGTATCCCATAGGTAACAGCAGCTGCCATCTAGAATAGTTGCTCTGAAAGGGTTTCTTGAGGATTCATGTCCAGGCCGGTGTGTGCAGGCTCTGGACGTGTCACCTTCAACAACCAGCGCAGCTATCTGAAAGCCGTGTGCGCAGCTTTTGTGGAGATTAAAACACCAAAGTTTACAAAAAAGGTAAGAGTGTCTGTTTAAAAGAATTAAATTCCTCATTAAAATACAAACTTTTGCAGTTTGGTTAATACAGTTTTAGGGTTTTAAGTTGTGAATCTTCCTTCAGGTTCAGATCGACCCCTACCTGGAAGACTCCATGTGTCAAGTTTGCCTTCGTCAACCTGGGCCTTTCTTCTGCAGAGACCAGGTCAGTGGAAAATACCCAGCACAACTTTCTTCATGCATCTCTCCTAACAATGGTTTGAAGAACATGTCAAACTCGAGGCCCGTGGGCCAAATCCAGCCCATCGTAACTGTTTTTGTGGCTCACTAAATAGATGGTCGTTCCCTTAAATATTTTTATAAATCAAAATGGTATTGATGTGAAAAGATGATCAATACTTGGCTTCAAGAAGTTCTTGTTTTAACGACTTAATACCACAACCGGCCCTTTAAACCACATATGTCAAACTCCTTTTCATGTTGGGCCACATCAATACTATCTTCAAAGAGATGGTTCAAGATTTTTGATCTCAGGTTTTAGTAATCCAAACCTTTGTAGGGGTGAAGAGAACATTTTGGTCCAACAAGTTTCCTGTTGCTTACTGGCTTTTGCTCCATTAAAACCAATGAAAGAAATGCAGCCATAGATCTATGGCCACATTAAAGTAGAACAAACATGATCAGATTGTTCTGAGACAGAAAAGTCCTTTATAAAGTGACTTCTGGTTACAGAATGATACCAGGGTGCTTTTGCACAATAAGCTTTACCTGTTCTCATTATGGCTGTGATGTTGATCATAATGAGTCAGTTATTGAAATGATTGTCAACTAATTTGGTAATCGCTTAACTGGTGCATGTAGACTAAAAAAAAAAAATTCTGAAAGTGTTCCCAAATACAAAATGTAAGAATTGTTTTGCCTTAATTGTTGCTCTAAGATTAAAAAAACCCAACTTTTCCTGTGAAGATGTTCTACCCAAAACAGGCAGTTTTAGCTTCACCTGGTTCAAATTATTAAAAAAAACTCATTAAGCACCTTTTCCTGTCCAATTATTCAGTTAATCAAAAAATAATAATCTGATCTTACAATGTTAGTCAAGCCTGAGCTTCTTGCATATTTTTTAAGCTGGAGATGCATCTCTGCTATAAAACTAAAGGAATGCCGTTGCATTTTAGAACATAAAATGTTAAAGTATTAGAAATGCATTAAAAGATGCAAATAAACAATTAGATGCTATTTAAAAAAAGGCATAAATGGGAAAAACGTTGCTTTTATAGTCTTTGGTTATTTGATCAATAACTAAAACGCTAGTTTCAGCCGTAGTTCTCATTTCCTGTTGGCCGTCTCTCCCCCAGGCCTGCTTCAAGTACTACTGCCGCTCCTGCTGGCACTGGCAGCATTCCATGGACATCTTGAGCAACCACCGGCCCCTCATGCGCAACCAGAAGAACCGAGATTCCAGCTAAACCCAGAGTCCCGACACTCTGAGGAAGTCTGAGGAAGAGCACCCCCTCGGCGGGGTGAAAGCCGCCCGCCGAGGAGAGCACGTGTGCCGGACGTCCCTCGGTCAGAGGGCACCAAGGCATTCCACCAGGCACCAGGGGATATCACTGTAGGAAATGTTCACTTTTGCACTTGCTCCATTTTTGCTGTTCACAGTGGCACTATGCACAGTGACCTTGTTGGGAGTAGACAAGGGGCCCGTCACGCTTTCAAGCATTTTCTCCAATGCGTGGCCACAGATGTTAGTCAGCCTAAGGTTAAGAACTGGATGAAAATGGCAATTTTTTTTTTTTTTGTTTTTTCCATTTTTTGTTTTCATGTATTGCATAGTGAAGAGCAATCACGCAAGTCTCATTGCCATTCATTGGCAAATGCCATACAGTGCCTTTAAATTTTTATTTTCCTTCCCTCTTCCCTCCCCTTGGCCCGGTTGGCGTCTGTTTTCCTGTGCAAGCCAGCTGGTGTTTCTTACTTTTTGGGAGTTGAATGTTGGGCTTCATTTAACCAGTCGCATTTCAAGACATTTTTACGCAGTTTTTTACTAATTTGTACACAAACGGTTTTAAGTCATGACATGAAAATTTTTGAACAATTCTACCAGGTGGCTGTTTAAGGGAAAACCCTCCCCTTTTATTTTTTTTTCCACATACAGTTTCAATTTTTTCCCTTTTTTTTTTTTAATTTGCCCTCCCAAATTTCAGCTGAATGGGCACAAAATGTTGGATGTACTACTTTAACTTGCTTTGTTGATCCAGTTATTAAATGTGAATCAGTACTACTGGATACGTCTCAACTTGTGAGCCATCACTTTTAGACCACTTGATGGATCCAGTTGAACTGGAGTGAATAATTTGATTTGTATAAAGTTTTTTTCTTTCCTTTTGCACTTTTTAATTTACACGTGTGGAGAGGTGGCAGTGGTTTTTAATCACTTTTGTACATCAGTGGGGGACATGCTTTATGTTTGAACAGCTGCTTGTTTCCTGTTGAATGTAAGAACTTCCACTAAGCTGATAAACTATCTATCCAGAGCTTGAGTAGACCCCCCCTCCCCTGATAAATGATCCCTAGCTTTCTTATTCCATTTTGCCTTCCTGTTCCAGTTGGACAAAAATGCATAAGCCGTGTGCCAAAGACGATGCGTCTTTCCTTTATCCATTAGGTTTGTCATGCTGAGCTTGTTGTCCTTTAGCCCAGCTGCTTTTTAGAGTTTTGAAAGTCTACCTCATTGTGGTCTGCCAAGTTTGCTGCTACTTAACAGTTGTGGAGTATGTTCAGATTGGGCACAATAAAGGTGTTTAAGCATTGCTGATTTGTCTGGGGTTTTAATACTTGCAGTTTTTCTTGATTTTATCAAATTGTCAGCAAATGTTTTTTTGTTTTGTTTCAGGCAGTTATAATCTAAAAACTAGAGCATATGTTCTAAGTAACTTTACTCCATCTGACTTTGAATAGCTTTACACAAATTCTAAAATGTCATATTGCATTTGAGCCTGCCTCAAATGGAATATGACACTATAACTTTGTAGTTGGTGTTTTTTCAGATTTTGACCCGTTTTCAAGTGAATTCAATGTTTTGCCATTAGCTGTAGGTGGATGTGAAAGATTTTTGTTTATGCATTTCAACTTTGACTTGCAATATTTCTAAATTCTAGAAATTGGAATGTTAAGTTTATTCAGAATTGAAATTGCCTCCGACAACTGCTGATTCAGTCTAAAGCAGTTTCTAGATTTAAGGAAGGACTGGGCTGTCTCAGTGGCTCAAAGTTCAGATGAAGGTACACTTTCATTTGGAAATCAAGGACCCAGAATCTGGAAGAAGAGTTGAACAGCCTGAAATCCAGAAGAAGGTAATCCTCACTTGCTGAGTCACAACTTTTCATTTTAGAAGCTGCTGACTAGCCTACAGAAATTTTACTTAAAATGGCATCTGATGCACATGGATTTTGGTGTAGGCATTTTTTTATAATTTTCTAGAGGATAAAACTGAGAAACCAGTTCTAATTCCATCTCTTTATTCAGATGCTGACATGATTTTACAATCCTCGTGGCGTTTTGAAGTTCATTCCCACAGTTGGCTGAGTGACCTGAAGCTTGGACAGGCCACCAAAGTCCTAGGAAGAAAAACATATGGACTTCAACAAAGTAATGAATCACCTTAAGATGTTCCACTCTGAAACTTTTTAATTCTAGTTGTATGAGCAGCACATGTCTGCCAAGACTGAGGATTGAGTTGAAGTACTTCCCAAACATCTATATTTGGAATATCAATATGGTTTTAGATTTCAGGCTTACCAGCATCTTGAGCATTTCTTTTGTATCCGGATCCACCTCGATGATCTCCTGGTCCAGAGCTGAAATCTGCAACACGCCACAAGCTCTGGTCAGAACACTGGGCCCAATAGACTAACTTTTGACACCACTAGTCCACTGTGACCTAAGCTTATGACAAGATGGCTTCTGTACCTCGGGGACATAGTTGTCCCTCCTCTCCCTCTCCTCCTCTTGCAGCTTGATGGAGATTCCTCTGACAGGACCACGCTGGATGCGTTTCATCAGGTGCGTCACATAGCTGAGACACAACAGAGCGCATGATTACAAGAATAAGCTTGGAAAAAAAACACTTTGGACTTTGATACTTCCTAAAATTTATCATACAGCATATTAAGCCTCAACTGCCCAACTGGATACAGTGGGAAAAAACTAAGACCAACATGCTCCAGTGCTCCCTCTGCTGGTCCAAGTCAGACCCATCTCCTCTTCTGTGATCATAAAGCATGTGTGCTCTTCCAATTTCCTGATCCAGTTTGGAGAAACGCCATAATAAGGATGCCTTTCTTGAGTTAGGCCACTCCTGACCCATTGCCTAAGGTGAAAAAGGGCTGGTCTAATGCGCATTGGTTCAACATCGTACATGAGGATGAATGGAAATGTAGCATTTTATTTGGAAGTAAAGGTCCCAGAGTGAGAAGGAAGAGTGGAGAATAGGCTTGTAGACAAAAAGAGGAACAGATCCATACACTAGTAACATTCTGAAACCATCACACGAAACAAAAATAGATCAAATGTTACAAACCCTGCAACTTTGTTTCTCAGAGGTTTGCTGGGGATGATGGCGATCTCCTCACACACTCTCTTGTTGGTGTGGAAGTCGTTGCCCAGGCGTGTGTAGTATTTCTCAATGATGACCCTGGCGGCCTTCTTCACTGTCTTGGTCCTGACTCGTCCCTGAAGAGAGAAAATAAAAGCCTTCGGTGCACGTACAAGGAAGTGATATTTTTAGAATTTAATTTTTAAAAATGAAACATATTACATGGATTTATTGCAACAGAAATTGATTTCTGCCAACTGTTTGTTTCTGTTGATTATAGCTTACAGCTGATGAAGATACATAAAAACATAATTACATAAAAACTGATTCTGTTTACAGACAGCATACTGAAAATAATACCAGTATATGAACTTTATTTTTTTTTTTACTGCATCCTTTCAATGTGGCATGAGTTTCTGCTGAGGTGTTCAAGAAAATCTGGATTTAATTACAGCTTGTAGACAATATTATTGCCTCTGGTGTAATATTTTCCCCCACAGATTCTTTTAGAGTTTATGTCAGGTTAGTTTGATAATGTAACAGTTTTTTCTTCCACTCCACTTTCTACAGTTCTCTCCACTGTCAGCTTTTACAGCAATGACCTTTTGTGGTTTATCCTCTTCGCAGAGGGCGTTGGTGTCTTCCCCATTATTGTGCGATTTCTGCATAAAGTAGCCTTGCTATGCAGTGTTTAAAACATATTTTAGAGAACTGAAGTTTGTTTTACTAGATGTTAAAAAATGTATTACTGTGTACAATTCATTATTTTTAATTTTTTTTTAAATCACAATATTGTACTCCAATTTACTAAAATGCACATAGAAAATAGTCAAACATTTTTATCGCCTGTATCTTTAACTTTATATCTAATCTTTAAATTAAACTCTAATCCAGATGGAAGTGGACAGGCAACAATCATCAAGGTACAGTAAAATAATGTTTATTTACAAGTGAAAATAGGTTGACCTTGGTATATGCCGCTATATATACAAAATTTCTTAAGCAATTTTTCTTTTTCTTATTTTTATACCAACTGAACACATCGAAAACGTTTGACGCAATCGCTTTGTGACTATGTAATTTTTTGTGTGTTTATAAGTAAAATGACTAAATAGGAGCAAAAAGTGCAACTGCTCCTCCGGGTCGCTAATAAGAACAGGGACATAGTTTACGTGTTTAATGTGTATTCCCCTCTACTAACGTTGTCAAAATTCAGTCGTAGATGGTCTTTTAAATAGATAAATACGGAGTGGGGGTCGTCAGTTTTCGGTGAGTGGACATTTAAGGAGGATTGGGAAGGATTGTGCCCGAAGTCGAACTGAAAAGTTCTCTGTGGTACCCACCATGTTGGCTCTGACCGGTGGAAAAGAAACGCCGCAACGTGACACCGGATGTTTATAGTTAGAGGTTGCAAATAGGTGCTGCAAAGCTGAAACCTTCACCGCCACCTGGTGGTGGGAGGAGAGAAACGACCTGATAAACCTTTCATTTCAGTGAACATTGGAATTAAAGGTTTGTTTCACTCTTAAAAACGAAAAGAAAACCTCTCCATGTCAGACCGAGAAAGGACCGAATTAGTTATGCAAGAAATTAGTAAAATGTTTACAAATGACATTTTCTTGGGGATTGTTTAGACTTTTAAAGCTCCTAAGCAGGCTTTTCTGTACATCACTTTATTTAGTCATCTATGGAAAAACGACGGTGGCTTTTTCTCATTACTATTTAGTTACTATTTGTATTTAATCAACATAAACTCCAACTTCCCCTCCAAAAAAATGTATTGCACACGTCCTTCTAGTGAGTTTTTTTCCTTATTTCTTCCAGTGTTTTTAATCCAATTTCTCCTGTTGATTGCAGCAAAAGTATATGAGCCACATTAAACATGATTTTCAGAAATTTTATAAAACGTAGAAGCATATTGTGTGACGGCAACCTAGGCAGAATCAGTGAAAAGTTGTTGGGGTTTATTAATGCTCGTTCTATAGAACTGACTGGGATTTAACTAAAAACTAAGACTATTAATAGAAAAACTGTTGACAGCAGTGACACCAATGTGCATTTGAAAAGATGAGCTCTTTCCTACTCAATAAATGTGGTCACATTAATGGTTTGATTTCTCTAAAATGTGTGAAAGATTGTGCAACAAATGTAATAAATTATAAGTGCACTGATTGCACTTTTCATGCCGATCATCGATCTTTAAAAAGCCTGATCAGCACATTCAGATTTTGTCTGATACTGCACTTTTTTTTTTGAGAAGTTGGCAACAGTGAC